TGACAATGATTAATGGACATGTTCCGGATACGATATGTCAAGGATACGCATGAGTGACCATGGCGATACGCTCCAGTGAGCAATATAGGATTTTACATTTTCATCTTCTTCTCGAAAACGACACTACTTAGAGACTTGAAGTTTACATCACATGCAGATAATAAGTCCCCCATCATAAATTGCAAATTTTATGCATGACTGACCACGCTTTCACGCTCCAGTGAGCAAAACGCGTCTTCAGTTTTTTTTTCGCGGGAAGCCTGTTAAAGCTGCACGCAGCTCTAGTTATTATTATTGGACACGAAGTGGACATAACGATCGTTTCAATATTATGTTGTTGTTGTTGTTGTTGTTCTTGTTCTTTGATACGTTTTTAAAAAGTCGCTTTTCTCTTCGAATACTGGACCAATTGCTTTGAAATTTTCAGTGGTTAAAGATTAATTTTTTCGCTAGAAGGCTATTACTTTTATTTATTTCAAAATTTTGCGTGAATTCTATGAAATTTGATATTTCGTCTAAAATTTTGCTGTATTATTTTTTATCCATGGGAACACGGATTTTAGTCAGTGTCATGACTGGCTGTACGTTTTGATTATGCAAAATTCTTGCTACTGGAAATTCAGAACTTTTTTGAGGGTACCGGTAGCGTCAAAGGTACCGGTAAGGACTGATTCGCTCTGGTCTAACGTGTCCATATATTTGTGCGTAGCTCTCTTGTTATTTATTTATTACTATTTATTTATTTTTATTATTTTTTTTTCAAATTGGTCCTACAAACTTTAAATTCACCTCAAATGTGCAGAAGTTCTCAGCTAGCAATAAAATGCAAATTTTATGCATGACTGACCACGCTTTCACGCTCCAGTGAGAAAAACGCGTCTTCAGTTTTTTTGCGATTTCTCAAAATTGATACATGCTATTGGGTTGAAATTCATAACAATGATTAATGGACATGTTCCGGATACGATATGTCAAGGATACGCATGAGTGACCTCGGCGATACGCTCCAGTGAGCAATATAGGATTTTACATTTTCATCTTCTTCTCGAGAACGACACTACTTAGAGACTTGAAATTTACATCACATGCAGATAATAAGTCCCCCATCATAAACTGCAAATTTTATGCATGACTGACCACGCTTTCACGCTCCAGTGAGCAAAACGCGCCTTCAGTTTTTTTTACGCGGGAAGCCTGTTAAAGCTGCACGCAGCTCTAGTTATTATTATTTTTTTTTCAAATTGGTCCTACAAACTTGAAATTCACCTCAAATGTGCAGAAGTTCTCAGCTAGCAATAAAATGCAAATTTTATGCATGACTGACCACGCTTTCACGCTCCAGTGAGCAAAACGCGTATACAGTTTTTTTGCGATTTCTCAAAATTGATACATGGTATTGGGTTGAAATTCATAACAATGAATAATGGACATGTTCCGGATACAATATGTCAAGGATACGCATGAGTGACCTCGGCGATACGCTCCAGTGAGCAATATAGTATTTTACATTTTCATCTTCTTCTCGAGAACGACACTACTTAGAGACTTGAAATTTACATCACATGCAGACAATAAGTCCCCCATCATAATTTGCAAATTTTATGCATGACTGACCACGCTTTCACGCTCCAGTGAGCAAAACGCGTCTTCAGTTTTTTTTACGCGGGAAGCCTGTTAAAGCTGCACGCAGCTCTAGTTATTATTATTTATTTATTTATTTATTTATTTTTATTATTTTTTTTTCAAATTGGTCCTACAAACTTGAAATTCACTTCAAATGTGCAGAAGTTCTCAGCTAGCAATAAAATGCAAATTTTATGCATGACTGACCACGCTTTCACGCTCCAGTGAGCAAAACGCGTTTTCAGTTTTTTTGCGATTTCTCAAAATTGATACATGGTATTGGGTTGAAATTCATAACAATGATTAATGGACATGTTCCGGATGCGATATGTCAAGGATACGCATGAGTGACCTCGGCGATACGCTCCAGTGAGCAATATAGGATTTTACATTTTCATCTTCTTCTCGAGAACGACACTACTTAGAGACGTGAAATTTACATCACATGCAGATAATAAGTCCCCCATCATAAATTGCAAATTTAATGCATGACTGACCACGCTTTCACGCTCCAGTGAGCAAAACGCGTCTTCAGTTTTTTTGCAATTTCTCAAAATTGATACATGCTATTGGGTTGAAATTCATAACAATGATTAATGGACATGTTCCGGATACGATATGTCAAGGATACGCATGAGTGACCTCGGCGATACGCTCCAGTGAGCAATATAGGATTTTACATTTTCATCTACTTCTCGAGAACGACACTACTTGGAGACTTGAAATTTACATCACATGCAGATAATAAGACCCCATCATAAATTGCAAATTTTATGCATGACTGACCACGCTTTCACGCTCCAGTGAACAAAACGCGTCTTCATTTTCTTTACGCGGGAAGCCTGTTAAAGCTGCACGCAGCTCTAGTTTTCGTTTGTATTCCCTAAAATTTAAAACCGATTAGTCTTGTAGTTAAAGATATAAAGTTTTTTTTTAAAGCTGCAACAACATCATTCATAGGCCCACACCATGTCACACTCTAATCCACACAAGTCAGTAATGCCGTTGTTTGGATCACGCGATTCTTGATCGATATTTATTCAACTCGAAATAAGTGAGTTAGGTGGGCAGCATCAGTTAACACAGTCAAAATCACTGCCCTTTTGTGTCCAACAACACTGACTTTGAGTTGATAATTGACTCAGTATCTCTAAAAGAACGTCAGATTTACCCCGATGCACAGTGTACATAATGTGTCTGCCGGGCAATATAGAAAACTTATGCGTGTTTTCACTCTTTCACTTAGCAAAAGAATGTGGATACGCCGCAACTACTATCTCCGGAAGAGGTGGAGGAGGTGAGCACGGGGGTTGTACCTGCGATCTTGCAGATGCGACAAGATGGTGCGACGTGGAGACTATATAAATACAAATACCGAAATAATATGTGATTTATTAGTTGTTGTCAGTTACATCATCAATCGACTGCACTACAGTAGTGGTATTGTATATTTTCATACAAAAACAATGACATTTGGTGTGCTCAGAGTAATAGGATACCAAGAAATGTCAAAATTCAATTTAATGGATTATTTGCTTAACTCGTGTTGTGGTTATTGTTGTTGATGTGATTGTTAATGATTTTAAGAAAAGTCGCTTTTTTTGCAGTAAATGGACCAATCGAATTAAATGTTTAATACTAAACAAACGATCGTTGTTTCCTTCCCTTTTTTTTAATTGCTTTGAGCCCTCTGGTACCCATATTATATGAATATTGCGCCACTGCGTCGCATTATGTCACCCGGTCGGCCATTTTTTCGACAAACTGGTGCTCAGCTCACTGCTCAACTATACGACCTTGTCGGTACCGATGTGTCTTAATGGGCGATGGTATTTAATTTGTAATTTTGATTTAAAGCTTTTGCATGATCTGATAACTGACTTCAGACCAAATCACGTAGACTATGTTGATATGATAAGTTTTTGAGCCTTCATGTCAATATATTGCTCTGTCCAGCATTGCTCTCTAATTAAGGTACAGTGTACGTGAGGATCTTTGTTTATAGATAAAGATCGTGTAATTATGATAACAGTAACACTAGCTTTCACTTATTTTGGGAGATATTTTCTAAATCATGATGTATATATATATAAAATAATTATCGTGTCAGTTTGTATCGGTTATTTCGTCTATGATCTGGTATGTGCTTGAGGGGATAATCAGTAGTTTTAACTATGGTATGACTGTCAACATCCGACTGTTTTTCACATTCACATGTTTTTCCCATTTTATTCTGTATCAAGTGAACGGTTTTAGGAATTTGAAAAATAAAGATTATAAATAAAGATCACACTGAAGAAATGTAATTGATATTTAACGAAATTTCTTGATCGTCGTGAGAATTTAACATTCTTTCACGGTGTGTGCAACGTTCACTGATTAAGTATAAGCTTCTAAAGTTGATATTTCTTGGAAATGTGAACTAAAATGGGAAAGTGATCACAAAGCGCAGTCAATGCAAATCTGCAAATGTCAGAAATAATATATTGAAATATATGTATTGGCGATATGTATAAATGTTGCGCCGAAGTCGCTGAGTTGATGTTATCAATCCCTATCCATTGTATTTATATAAGACTGAAAATTTATATATTCTTAAAAATCTTTATTGTATTTTATTTTATTTGTAGCTTTCAACGATATACAGAATACAATTCTAAATTCTTTTATCATGACTATAACTTCATTGGAAATATATTTAGCAGTATATATATATATATATATAAACACGTTAATCAAACAGCGAATTAATATTAAAAACTTGATCTCGTTATTCACGTCATAACACTAACAGTATCGTAATTAAAGTATTAAAATGAGTGTACCGGTTATAACGTAGATTTAATTATGAATTTTTGTTTGATCATGACAGGTCGAAACATGTTCCCAAAAGCTTAAATTCTGTTATTTGACCCCACGAAAATCATTATTAGAATTAGAAATTTGAGAAAATTAACTTTGTTTTTATAATTTTAATTCGAATTTGGTGTACATTTGGGGTTCCTGTTGCTACAGATTTGGGAAATGCGTGATTAAATGCACATTATCAATATGCATTACATGAGTAATGATCCACCATATAGTAACGTTCGGGAAAATTCGATGAAAGGTAAGTCTTGGAAAAAATGTTCATCTTTTCATTGATCATGTGATGAATTCGAATATAAATGACATGGCAATCAGGGCCACAATAAAAAAACGAAATACAAATTCAACATTTTGTTAACCAGTCGGTCACCCTATAAGATTAAAAGCTAAAAGCGTTCTTTTGTAAATGACGACAAAGCAATGTGACCCGCAAAAGCAATTTTTTAAAACTGGTCATCAAACTGTAAACGTCACTTCACTGTCTTGACCCGGAGGCAAGTTGTTCTCACAGAAAAGTTTAAATTTGTATTTAAATAGTTCTTTCAATCGAAATATCGCCGCAGTCGATATTTTTTTTTCAAATATTTTTACCATGGACAAGTATTTCTACATATTACTCCTAATTTCAGTGACACGCTGTCGGGGACAACTTTCTGGTTCAGGTTGGTGATAACTGTTTAATTAAAAATAAAGAATAAAAAATAAAGAACTTATTGTTATGTTGTTTTTCATTATACCCGTTTGCGGTTTGAAGTTTTTGTTTCATGATGATAAATGAAATTTTACAAATTTAGTTTAGTTCAGTTTAAATGAGAGATCGTCTTTCCATATACACAAGGCACATCTAACCTTTAAGCCTGCCTATACTGAAGAAGTTGAATAAACCCATTTCGTTTCGTTTCCCAATTTTTTACTCCGGTTTATCTTGATTTTGCTGATTTCCCACTACATCAAATAAAATGTACCATACCAATTTACTCACTTAGGACTTATACCAGCCCAAAATGCACCTAATCTGAACGGAGTAAACCAAGTAATTAATCAAATTTCATTGTTTCACGGGGTAATATGTTCTATTAAATTGATTGACTATATATTATCATTTCGATCAAATTTACAGATTAGTTATACGAGCTCAGGCTATTTGAATGATGTTACCAAAACCTAGCTGCATATAAATTTTAGTCACTTTTATTTTATTATACATCTAGGATCGTCTTGTCCAGAAGCAACGCTGGTATGCATAGAAGAAAATGAAATTTGCTTCCGCGGTAATAGTGATTCTGTCAACTGTTATTGTCCATATGGCTTTAAGGGTGACAACTGCGAGGAACGTAAGAAATATTTCATATTATTTTGTCTAACTATGTTCACTGATGATTACTACAGATTAGCTCAGTAGCAATTTTAGAATCAGTTCCGACAGCGATATGTGACGCATTTTGTTGAACACGAAATAGTCTCCGTTTAGGACAGTGAAAAGTAAACTATGTAAGGGGAACTAAATTAAAATTAGAACTTGAATAAGTTGAATCACGCATGTACGCCCGATAGGTCATATTATAAATAATTTACCTGTGCTTAGTTACTGAACAGTTTGATATGTCATCAATTCATAAGCATTTTGAAACTAGATATATTTTAAAATTTATCTTTGAAGAATGTTCCAAACAAAACAATTAAATATATTTTAAATACAATTATGCAGCAATGACCGACCTTATTGACGAAAAGTGTGAGCTACCAGACAAACCAGGGGATTTGTGCGACTGATTTGAACTCACAATCCAATGTACAAATAATGATTGCCAAGAGTCCGAAATTTGTTGTTCAATTGGATGCGGGACAACATGTGTAGTTAATCCGGGTTAGTAATGTATTGAAAATTTCAATAACGTACATAAGTTAGGCAGTCGGATATCCTTGAGTGTGAATACAACACGATTTTAATAAAAAAGTTGGGCGCTCCAAAAGTATGTGCACCAATATGGAGGTAACTAATTTTGTTTGCCTACTTCATATCAAGTTGTATAAAGAGAATGAAACCTATGGACAGGGGGATATTCACTTGGCTAATACAGACAGTGCCGAACTCGTAGAACTAAAACATAGGAATTCGAAATAAAATCATGGCCTCACCCTAACCTGGTACACATGCTACGAGAGTACCAAAAGTTGATACTTAATTCATATTTTATTTCGAAATCAAAGATTAAAAAAGGGATGCCTGGAAAACAAATGTTTTATCATCCAGATTCTAGACCTAGATGTAGAGTCTAGACCAGGGGTCACCAACGCGTTGCCCGCGGGCACCAAGTCGCCCGCGAAGACCATATTAGTCGCCCGCAGGTCTGTTCCAAACTAAACTTAATAAAGGCTCTTTTAAGTAAGCTACATCAATTATATTTTATCCTGCTATTTTAGTATAAATCACACTTGTATGGGAACTAGAAATGGCACTATAATAATTATTGTAATTGTAACCATCAACCTTATTTTTATTTGACCTCAATAATGTGACGGGTCAATTAACACTCTTCCAATTATGACATCACACTGAGATCAGTTTCCACGAACCCGCGCTTTTTCTTGTCCGTTGGTTAGCGCAATGACATTAAACAACATGATGCGCAACTCCGGCATTTTTGGCCGAAGATCGTATTCGATAGCACGCTCCAATGCACATACTTGACGAGACGAAAACGAGCGGATGTGTGTTGCTTTCAAGGCATAGCACGAATGGTGTTCGAGCCTGCTTCGACAGTTGTTGTGGTTTTTAATGATATTTGGAAAATTGAAGGTAAAAAGAAATCAGAAAAAAGTAAGGTAAATACTATTGTTGTATATCACACCCGCGCATCGCACTGTTAAGTAGATGCGGGAAAGCCAGCTTTTGTCAAATACTACGAAGTTTATAATTCAGTACGGTACGTAGTTGGCCATCTGCCGAAATTGCATATTTACTTACCCCTTATGGTTTCAAATAGTTCATGCACCTCCATTTAGATTTTTTTAATCAGTGAGGATATATACTTATTGCTGTAACAGACTATTGCTCATTCACTTTTATTTGCTTATTGAATCAAAGGGTTAACAAGTTCACCTAAAATTTCACTCATACCGGTCTATATTGTATAGTCTGATCTCTCAAGTATTTGGAGCCACGAATGCTTATAATTTTCTGACTAAACCCCTTTATTAGTTGGTTTCTATACCAAATTCAATGAAATATTTTTTACATAAAACATAAGATATTGGATTTATTAGTTTTTCCATTCTGAATCATATAGACTGCTTTATTTATTCCTAACGAAAATTAATAAATCTTCTCTCCTACAGATGTGAAAGTTGTGGACAGACCTGTCTAAGCATTGTGAGACTCCTGCAGTACAAGAGGCAATAGCAATAATAGTAAGTATACCAATCAAGAAATTAGGCCGACATAAAACAAAACTTTCAACTATTCGTCTAACATGAATTTCCTATTATTTATTCACATGACAACTGTAGCAGAAGGGGAGATATCAGAAGTCTGGCGACATATCAGTGACAGTTTGATTCCAAGAAATATGATTAGAATACTCCATAAATGTTTGCAATAGAAAAACAACCTATGGAGGAATGCAAAGACATTTGACCCTCCGGTAAAGTTGTGTATGGCCCTTACATCCTGCAGGGCTTGAGGGAAATAACTAAAATATCTAAAGCGTAAGATTGCATAAGCGGTCTTCTTTGCAAAAAGGCACAAAACATGCCAGACATACTTAAAACAGCTTTGAAAAATGAGGATTACGGGCCACTGACTACACCTGTGTTATATTTGGTTCATTAAATTTTGGTAGTACTATAGAAGAAATTCAGGAAAGGATATAATCATGATTCATGATAAAATAATGTTATATATTTTGGACAACTTCAATCTAGACCAGGGATGTCAAACTTGCGGCCCCAGAGAACTTCCAGTGCGGCCCTCGAACGCTTAACAATAATTGTAATAGTATTTTTGAATTTTTTTTTATTTAAATGTAAAAGATTTTTCAAACCTTTCAAAGTGAAATTGAATATTCACACAGAAAACAATTTACTGAAAGTAGTTTTAGAAAGTTCATTTTTTTTTGTTCACATTTTGACTCAATTAAGAATACACATCAAGCTAGCAAAAGAATACTGAATAAAACACTTGAGTGATTAAATTAAAGTACATGAAGAAGGTGGCATTTTCGAAGAAAATGGGAGTTGCAATATTTCTGCATTTCACAAAATTCTGAAGCACATTGTTAAATTTGTCATATTTCCATCAGTACAATAAAAAAACACAATAAGCTCAGCAGTCAATATGACAAATTCGAAGACCAACTCCGAACAGAAAATTTCCATGTGTTTGTATATTAATATAAATATACAACGACTTAGTTACTAAAAATCAATATCAATAATAATTCAAGCAATCCTATGCCATGCAATGTAGCCCGAAATGTCTTGTCGAAAAAATCTGCCATTTGTTTTTTTACTGATCTATACATGAAATGATAAAAGTAACTTTTTTGCATTACTGGAATTAATTAAACTTTTGCGAAGATACAGATTAACCCATGATCATGTGACCTCGTTAGTTAGAAATGGTACTATAAAATCAATTCAGCCTGGCCTTAGTATGCTGGTGACACAAAGAAGATGCCAAACGTCAGGACAAATGTAATTAAAAAAAACATTGAGTTTATACTGTAGTATTTTTGTTAATTTTAGGTTCATATATTTAGATTAAGTATTTTTTTAGTGTATGTATTATTCTTTCCTTAACCAACGCTTGTTCAAAAATGATTTTTATGGTTGTACATGGAATTTTATGATTTTTTTTAATAAATACAGTAACTTGCAATAATAGTGGAATGCAAATATTAATATGTAATTGCATTTGAAATTAAAGAAAATAATAAAACTTAATCCAACTGATTAGTTGCATCACAATATATGTCACAAACTAAAACTATCTGAAAAATATCTTTCAAGTATACATTATCAAAAACTGTTTGCGGCCCTTTTTACAATTTCTAACATGCAATGCGGCTCTCGAAACCCATGAGTTTGACACCACTGATCTATTCTAGACGATTCAAGCATTGCTTTGGGAAATAATATCACTTCAATTAAATTGAAAAAAAATCTCGCTATATTAAATACAAAACCGTTGCTATCATGAAGGTAAACCAATTCAGCCATTCGGAATATATTGGCCTTCACAAAGCAATGGAGGCAGAATTGAGAGTTCATGAGCTATGAACTTTTGTTCTTTTCTTTGTCTTGAACTTTTCATACTTCACAGCCTCTATTAATTTTTTTTTAATTTTAATTACCATGTGATGGTCATACATACTGTATCTTTGTATTTTCTGTCATGATGTATTATCTCAATGTGTCAAACTTTTAATTAGTGTGTATATTTTGCTTCCAGATGACATAAATGTATTGTCTTGCTTATTACCTCAGCTTGGAGTATTGACAAGAAAAAAGTGCCCGTAGATTACGTAAAAAAATGTTTAACTCTTTGTTATAATCAGAATTCACATTTAATAGGAATTATAAACAGCCAACAATCAATGAGAATTATATGCCAAATCCTTCAAAATAAATTTGTCTTCTAAAGTCGGAGGAAGGCAAAACATATAGGTAGTTTCCATTCACACAAGTTTTTCAATAAGACTTGCTCGAGACAAACTAAATGAGCATCGTCAGGTGATCGGTAAGGCTGCAAGTTGAATCAGCCCTGCAATCTCCTGCATAGAAGATAATATTAATTAGCGGGCTATGAGCTAAATTTCTAAATTTAGACACAAACCTATCTACGAGGCATTATGTACCAGCAATGTTACCTACGATTAACTGAATATGTAATATGTCTAATAAATTCACCTACTAAAGCAAGTTCGATAGTTTCAAACTTTGTGTTATGGAATTGTATCACAGCACCTTTAAGAGAAGTAAAAACAGTTTTGCTGTTTTGTATGACACCCTCTTTAAAAGAAATTTCAATGTTTAAGCGCAAACATTAAAATTACTAACTTTGAACTTTGTCATTATCTGCAAAATGTTTCACACAAATCTTTACGCTATCGCGTTTGTAATATTCTCTGATAAAAAAAAACGTCTATGATGTTCAGAATTACTCTTTACAGCTTGTCTGCCATTCTTGCTTTCCAAATGAGCAAAACTTCTCAGATATAGAGATTATTTTCTTTCGTTACAGGCGCAAAAAGGCAGGTACTACACGTAAAGAAAACGCCGAGTAGCAAAAGCAAGCGGAAAACCGTCGCGAAAGGCGACGAGAAATATGTGCATTAGAGCGTATCATGGAATACAATCTTTCGCATGTAGTCTAATGGAGTGACGTCAGAGTTGCCTATCATGTTGTTTAATGTCATTGGTTAGCGGAGCAGTAATAACACAATTATTGATTCCAATGAAAAATCCATCATTTTCACGATGAATGGGAGGTTGATATATTTATACCACCATGAAAACAGCCTGCGTGTGTCTCATTAGTGGGGCGATTTTAGCGACGGCAAAGCGGAGAGATATTTCACATCTTGTCACGTAATCTTCCGCGCTAATTACCCACTGGTCAGCACAGTACGGACAGAAAAAATCTCGCGATTCAAATCATACAGTAATCCTATTTTACGAGACCATCGTTTGTTTCAACCTATCCTTTCGAATCAACATTTTTGACATAAATTCAGGATAGGAGATTTACATATTTATCCCGGGGGAGAAGATAGCCGATAGGACGGCTTAACCATATGATAAACCACGGCTTCTCACCGGTTACCATTCGATGTCGGTTCCGGAAGCTTGGACTTGATGGCGAAGGAAGCCTTAACCGACCAGCGGTTACGTGAACCACCCTACGGCGGCGAGGAGTCCAGCAATCCTTTTGCACATAACAATCCCCGCATGGGATTCTAACCTGCGAACCTAACGCTTAACACGATGGGCCATAGCGCCGCGACTCACTCCACCAGGAACAAACATGGAACACGCCTCACTGATGAAAATCTGCAAGACTCGCTCAGAGTTACAGTGTCAAGTTACACGTCGGAGTATAATACTCTGCATCATTCGATAGTACAACTGTTAAGTCCATTTTATCTTAGACTTGTGCAGAGTGTTGAAAATCAATTTGAAAACACTCAGTTTTTAAATACAAGTGTAATTGATAGAAATTTATTTGCAACGTTGTGTTAATCGTTTGATTTCCTGAAGAATCCGAAGGTTTATAAGTGTCTATACCTCACTAAATACCAGTATTATATCAATAATTGAAGCTTAATCGAGCAACTGATTTTTTTAACAGTGTACATTGAACTGGTAGCCCGCAGCTTAATCTGTACCCAAAAAGTAGCCCTCGGCTTTGAAAAGGTTGGTGACCCCTGGTCTAGACCAAATGCCGGTTAATCAGTCTTCGTAGCACACACCACGAACAAAAAAAAAAATTTGCATTTGGTATTTCTGTTGAAAAATTTGTTGTATTTTCACCATGTGTTTACGTAAATCTATCTATATAATATATTCTGTACAAATGAATAAAAAAAATATTGAATAACATTATCGTAGACTTGCCGACAGTATTACTATAGTTGAAACTAATTATTATTGCCCCAGGCCTCGACGACCGCGGTTGAAAAAATAACCGGTACAGATTGGCACGGAAGTAATTTACTTAGAAAACACGTTACAAAAGCGTGATGTATTATCGTTCAAAAATATCCGTAAATACGAAAATCCAGCTTGTCAAAATTTTGCATGCTTGTATTATTAAAACAGCACTGTCGAAATACGTCAGCGTTTCTCAAGCTTTGTGCCGCGAGCCGCGGCACACTGGTGTGTCGCTTGAGAATTTTGGAATTTTAGAAAATACATCATTCGTATCACACTTAGGCATACATGCAACTGGCTAGCTTGGCATTTGCATCTTTATCGCTCCGTGAACACGGATTATCTTCTTTGACTGAAATTAAAAGCAAAAAAGGGAGTGACTTCTTGGAATTGACGACGAAATGCAAGTGTGCTTGGCAACGACAGAACATCCTTTTTATCTTATTTGTTCCTCAAAACAGGCACATCCATTGCATTTACATTTGCAAAATAAATTTGTTTAAATTTAAATTTATTTTTTTACAAGTGTGTCGCATTTTTTTTATTCGCTTAGTGCGCCGCAAGCACAAACAAGTTCAAGAACCACTGAAATACTTATATGTAACTATTTATTCCTACCATTTTCATGGCAAAAACAGATCCTTGAGAATAACTAATATATTTTATATTTTGATTGAATTAATTAAAAAAGGTATGAATGGGCAGTTTATTAATAATCAGCAGTACTTGGCTAGATTTGTATGCTGAATATTCAAATTCCCATAATTTCAGAACTTAAGTGTACAACAAAAAATGATTGTAAACCAAATCAGGGATGTTATAAAATTAATCAGGAAGATAATATCTGTTTCTGCGCGTTTGGATTTGGAGGCGAAGATTGCATGGAACGTGAGTATTGGAACTATTGAAAAACGTTAAAATTTATCTTTCAAAAGTCTTATATATATTAAAAGTTTTAAAAAAATCTGTGCTATACAGGGCTACAAACGAAGCCCTGATGTAAGTTTTATTGTTTACTTACTACATGTCTACAATGGTTGAAGTATAAATATTATAAATTAAATTTTGTAAAAAGATATCTCACGTATTTCCTCAAAACGATCTCCCACAGTTTAAGACTGGAAAAAAGGTTGTAAGTACTTGTGACTATATTTTATTGTGAAGTAGCCAACTTCAGGTAATTATTTCTATCTTAAATTGATTTTCGTAGACCAAAAATTAGATCAACGATGTCCATTTCCGAATGATATCATTGACGTTTGTGAAGATATAAATAAGGAAGAATGCGTAGGACATGAAGATTGTCCATCGAAACACATATGCTGTGTAGCGCCGGACGCCTGTTCGACCACTTGCTTACCGATAGGTGAGATTTTATAAAAAACTAGGAAACAGGGCAATATTGGATATACAGGATATCCAATTTGATGTGGACCTACATATCTTTTTGTTAAATTGTTGTTGTTATTAGTATTTTTTGTGGTATCCTGTTGTTGCTACTGTTGTTGTGAAAAATTTTCTTTTCAATTCCTGGACCAATTGCTTTAAAATTTTCAGTGATTCAAGATTGTTGTTCTCGATAGAAGGCTATTACTTTTATCTATTTAAAAAAAATTCTTTGTGTTTTATGGAATTCGTTTTTCACTCTGAAGTTGTGTGTGATGAAGACCGTCGGGATCCCCCATATTAGAACATTGCTTTAAAAAAGAAAACTTTATTTCGACGTATTAAGACATGATAATCTCAAGTGGTTTATCATATAGTCAAAGTTTTGTTTTTGCACATAATTTTCAATTCTATCTTAATCAGGATGTGAAAATGCCGAAGAACTCAAAACATGTACAGACCAGAATAAGCTATGTATAAACGACGACTCTACCGATGTATACAGTTGCATATGCCCGCAAGGATATGTCGGTACGATGTGTGAAATAGGTGAGTAGTTTGTATGCTCAATATGCTACGAAGAAACATTACTGTTTCAGTTAAGAAGTAAAAAAGTTCAGTAAGAAGTAACAATTATAGCCACACTTGAATATAAAAAAACAACATATTTTGCGCCGAAAGCGAAAATATCTATTTTAGGGACTACCAAATGAGTTTGAAATAACGTTTTTTTTAAGAGAAAGGGTAATCCGTATTGGTTTCGATAGGTATAGAAAGAAGCATTATGGGTTCACGAGCTATTTAAAGAGTATGTAAATTAAAGTAATTGAGTATATAATTAAATATAATTAATAATTATATTAAATAATAATAATATAAATATAATTTTACTTCATAACACCTGGTATAGTAATTATTATATCGTCACGCTAATAACCGAATTGCGTAAGTCATTTTTGACGATTTTGAGTTTTTTATAAAATAGGTATTTATGTAATGCTGTGCACCTGTCTGTTAACTCAGATTTTATTTTAGGAATTCCGAAACCCATAAAAATGGAGATTTAGTATGACATGCACATTTGTGCGATTGTTTCGTCATAATGAATTATCCTTGTTACCGCAGTACTATTGTGACGTCACAAAGGCAAAATAACCTCGGCGAAGTATTTTCGAGTTTTTGCATCTCGGATTCTAGCTTAGCGCGTATTAATTTGAATTTTTACTACAGTATAGGAAGACGTACACTTGTGATATTCACTGTCCGAGTCAAATTTACCTTGGTTGGCTTTTATATTGGGTGCATTGCTGTTTTATTCTTTATATTTAATCTTAGTCCTATTTCGGTGGGTGTGCAGAACGTGTTATATTGATGAAATATATATTTTTAAACATAAAAAATGATTTAATTGAAACTGATTAGCTATTTTGGGGATTAGACATTGTAGATACTGAGAATTACATTCGTTTTTGGAATGTTTAGTTTTCAGGACTGGTGCATATAGTGAAGTTGCAAATTGCGTATGTCACCAAGTCATAGACACATTTCTGCCTAAGTCACAGTGCGCCATTATGACGTCACTTAACTGCGTCATACAAATTAACCATGGCAAATTATTGACTCTCAATTGCATAACAAAATCATTCGGAAGTTTTTTACGTTTTTCTCAAAACTGCTAAAAATGACTTACGCAATTCGGTTATTAGCGTGACGATATGGCGCTTCCAACTATCATGTTGATGGTTTTATTGCCATCTTTATAAACCCATGGAAGCAAACTGGCTTTAAAGGTGCTAGGTGTTTCAATAGAAATATATATATATAGGGTGTAGACATTTGAATACGTACCAATTTTTCTTTTGGCAAGACGTCATAAAAAATATAAAATGAGTAACCAAGATCATAAGCAAGTGTTTTGATAATTAAAACCGATTTATTTGAAAAATCTAGCATTGCTCGATGAACGTTGCGAGTTTCCGGAGGTTACTGGTGATACATGCCTTGAATTTGAATATCCAACGACATGTACAAAAAATGAAGATTGCGAAGGTGATAAATACTGCTGTTCAACAGGATGCGGAACTCAGTGCGTGGACCCAGGTGAAAATGTTGTGTTATAGAAATATAAACCATGTTTTATTGAAAGTGACGATGGAAATTATGAAACATATGTTATTTATAGTTCACTGAGACCATCTACATTTGTATAAAATGGGCACTATGTATATATCATTTTCAATATTATTAGCTAACTAGCCAAACTGTTATATCTATTTGCCGGAACAGAAAAACCAATTCATGTTTTACTGTTAATTAATCTTGCTTTACATTATCAAAAATAAATTTCTTCCATCGTTTTGTTGCTAATTCGAAATTTTCTAAAATATTTTGATTATTTTTAGCAGATTCACCTCCCCGCAAGCCATTAAATCCGTTGTTGATTGCTCTTGCCTTATCAAACCGTGGGCGTCAAACTCCTGTAATTCCTGCACCATATGTACCTTATTGTCCACCGAACCTATGCGGTCAACTAGTTTGTCCCACAAATGTTGGAGCAAGATGTCAACCGATCAGGGGACGATGTGATATCCATTTTTATGACCAGTATACCAATCATCTGATTACACAGAATTGTAAGTAAAGTTGAAAACTATTTATCCAACTAGTTCTCATAGTAGCGAAAGTATAGATTCAAATTTTTCCCCTTAAAATATATGTATGTAAATTGGTAAATATATTACCTCCAATTGACATTTGAATGACCTTGGGAGATCTATTGCGCTCCAATATTTAGTATTAATTGTTATGACAAAAGAAAAAAGTACAACAGTCATTATTTTTGTTGTAGGTCCGTGCAACAGAGGTGCTCAAGAATTCAGTTCTTGTTTTGCCAACAGTTGTTCTGACATATATGGCAGACCATTGGTTTGTCGCGGAAATCCTAACGCAAGATGTCGCGTAACAAGATGTGGATTCTGCTTGGCATATTGGATTGATGAACGTACCGGACAACGTGTTCAATGTGCCAATGAGTATTAAAGCTCACAGATATCTCAAGTATCTGTCAACGATATAATGATTTTCTTGAATTTTTGTTACTTTCCTCACTTTAAAAATGTTTCCTCATAAAGGTTTTCAGTACAGACAATTAAAACCTAGGATTTCTACATATTATCACGCAGATGTGATTTACAAGGATTTGAACTGGAAATCGTACTTGCTGCTACCTGTGATGTAACTTTATAATTTCACTTACGTGCTGCAGAAATAATAACGCAGATTCTGAGAATATATCATGTTAGATTTTGATTTTCCTCTTCTTGGTATATCGATCATCTTGCTTGTATTAATATCGAGTTGAATGATTTGGGATTCATATATATAACAAATCAGATCGTTAAGATTTAATATATTAAATAAAATTAACCATACAATTCTACGGGTTGATTTATTGCTGTCGAGTTTGTAGATGATTTATATATACATCGGTTCCAGTGGACATATATAACTATAGCTTGATATGAATATATGTAACTCATTATACATGTCCTAGAGTTGGGCACTATGAAATTATCAGCTACCTAGATACATTTTGAAGGCGTGATAGTAGAATGAAAAATATACCTGGCATCATTTACAATTACATGACAAATCGGCCTTTCGGGTCGCGGTTGGGTTTACAGAAAATTTTTGTAAATCGGCGCATATGGGTAGTTTCAAGCCAAATGCTTACAGATGGGTTCGTATATATAATAATATTATATATACAGTTTGTGCAATTATAGATTTTTATACTATATGTTATCAAACCATATCAGCCTAAAGTATTTTTTGTGCACTCAATTTGCATGCTTTCTCCCCAGAATAGACTAAGAAGACGGGCTAAATTTACTCCTGAGTCCTGACCGATAATTAGCGAGTTACTGGATAATACTGGAGTTATAATAATGCACACTCCTTATATTCCCCGCATACAATAAAATTTTGGGAAATGTCATGAATCCCAAAAATTTCTTAAACTTGTCGCTATAATGCAGTCGACTGTTGAGTATTTCACACATTATCAAAAGATAAAATATATAAATATACTTAAGGTGTTCTCTTCACTTTCCATTTTGAAATATTTTCCATGACTGCTCTCCATTACTCGAAAGAAAATCCATATTATACTAGAAGAGTTTGAATTATAAAGTACATGAAATCTGTTAGTAATTTATTAATGCTCTTCGACAAAATCAGATAGAAATTGCTTGTTCTACAGGGATATGTTAGTTAAAATTACAAGTCTTTTTTACTTATACACACACCGCTGTAAATGTTAATTTCAATGTGTTATGAAGTTAATGCATAACAGCTAAATTATTCATATTTAATCCATTTTATATTATAAAGCGGATGAGTCAATAAAACTGTTGTCATTGTTGTCTACATTCAGAAGACTAAAATAAAATTGATAGCCATTCTAGGACAAAAAATGGTGGGGAAGCTTGTACTATTTTGTGCGCTGTTTACTGCAGTAAATGTTAAAGATACTCATGCATGTGGGGAAAAGGATAGTCACTGGGAGCCGCAAGATATTCCAACGAGGGCATTGCAAACAAGAATTATTGTATATGCTGTTGTAAGTCGTACTTCTTTTTCAAATGTCTATTTGTTTCAATAAACATAAAACAATGAATAAGGTAAAAACTAAGTATAGGAATAACTCTTTGAAAGAGAAGATCATATTATGTAAGTACATTTTACTTTTCAAAGTCAGTATTTGAAAACTTAAAATAGGAAGTTTCATCGATACGATGCCATAGCATAGGATAAACGTTCATATACGTATACGTAAGATTCATCTGTGTTTGAAGACAAATTTACTCTGCGACCATGAATAAAAGGGTGAGCTTGAAACTTGAAGCACCCGGGATTTGAAACCGCCAACTTCAATATGAAATATGAATCAAATCATTTCAAATTTTTACATTTCACAGCCTCTTTCATTACCGAGCGTATCATTAGCAGAAAATGTCGTCAGTATTAAAAAGAGTTCAGCAGCAGACGATAATGCATTAAATAAAGCTGAATTTTCGCTCATTTGTATTTTGAAATATGAAAGATATCGGGGAAAGAAGTATAAATTACAAAATCCACAAGGTGGCGATCAAGAAAGGTTCAATGTGACCAACACCAACCTAAGTGATACATACTGTGGCGATGTAAGTAAAATGATTATTGTAAGTGCACATATGAATCGTTTTGCTAAGTTATTCTTGGTGTTGTACAGTAAAATTGTTTTCTACGTTTTCAACTAATTGACCCAAATTATCAGTACTCAAATGGGAGGAGTGCGTCTATTTCTTTGAGTCATATAATCCCGGTATTACCTAAGCAAAATTTTGCTGTTTTATTTTAATAAGAGAAGGACATATTTTATTCCTCACGCTTGACCGCATTCGTCGCGCTTTCCGTCACCTCTTTATTGCTTGGTGCATTTCTGCAAATGGCTATAGAATAGTTTTAAGGACTTTGTATAAATAAACCATCGAGGCATCCGTAATGAACTTTTGTGCTATATGCATAATGCATTATTCCTCCGCATTATGTGTCATGAACTTATCAATTGAGGAATTCAATATTAGAAATTTATCATCTGCGAAATTTGTTGATATATATATTTTAGTTATTTTTCCGACCATCGATCTATACTTCCGCATAAACATGTATATATATATAATATGTAGACATTCATTATCCTACATTATGAAAGTCATTGTCTTTTTGTGTATAATTTACTATTTTTAATAGAGATGACAGTAATTACATTAGCCACGGGCCATAATTTGATGTCGTGTATTTGGAATTAAATTATTTTCATATAAACAGCATATAATGGTATTGGTTTATTATGATACGCTCTAGCAGGTACTGGATTATTCCTTTTAAGGAAATCAAGGAAACCATTCTGACGATTGAAGCTAAATATTGTAAGCAATATCATAAAATACCTCTAATTTAAAAACAAAACGATGATGTAATTGGACACGAAGTTTGACAACTGAATTGTTGTTGTTGTGAATAATTACCATTCTTTGCAACTAGTTGATAAATCTATTTCAAACTTCCAGTACTTTGAAAATGGGAGAAGTCACTAGAAGGCTGTTGATTTTTTTTAATTTGTTATTTGAATCCTATGGTATTTCATATTTTTCACATTGTGCGCGATACGTGGCATTCCGGTAGTCTACTCCGCAATCTTTTGACCAACCTGGTGCCCAGCTTCGGCCTTACCGGTACCGACATAAATTGATACAATGGTAGCTGGTAGGCTTGGTTAGATGTTTTGATATGATGCATTTTAATTTGAAAATGGAATGAAATAAATATAAATTATGGCGGAAATATTATAAGCAAATAATTCCACGCTTCGTGCCACTTTAATGAAGTAATATCATATTATAAATTACACATACAAAACTACATTTTTCAGATTATCCCGGAGATTGGAAAACCATATTTCCTTTTTCTTCTTGTCAATCAAAACACTACTTCTGAGAAAAATTTTCTACTTGATTTCGTAAACAAGCAAGATGCTGTTTTTGAAGATACTTTAGACAACAGAGTAGCATTAGAAGATCATATTCTCGAAAGCGGATGTCAACTTCCGGATATTCAAATCGACTTCCGGTCTGAAACTGACGCAAGCATGTTTTTAGATATAAATGAAATTGAACTTGAAAATCTTAAAAAGCAAAATGATGACCCGGAAGTAGTGGAAGACGTACCGACAGAACAATCTGCAGCTGAAAAGCTACCTGTCAGTGAATTAATCTCAACTCGTATTATGCCTGGGAGCATTTCACAATCTGTTGACTTTCGACACGACTATCTACTTACGGAACCGCAAACGACAACGAAAAATTTATACCTCACGACCAATAGCTCGCCAAAACTTCAAATATCCGCAATTTTGCGTCTATTTGTATTTTGCTGTTTTTGGAAATATTTTTAAATCAGTCTTTCACGTCTTAATCCAATTGCAAATAAGTTTGATTACAACGAAACGAACGTTCGAATTATTGAGCCATTAGTGCATTGTCCCTCAAACAAAATATGAGTGGTATTGTCCTGTCAAATTTCCTTTTTTCATTATTTCAGATTATTTTGGCGTAGATAAATATACTTCACTTTTGATGTCCGATTTATCACAGCTTATGTCTGATTTAGACATAGTGTCAAAAGCATATGAAGTAATAAAAAAATATATAAAAATTGTTCATCTGAAATAGGAATCCGACTATAAATTTATCATAGTGCTTAGGTCGTTGACTCATTCTTGTTTGTGAAATAAAATTTTTACATAATAAAAACTAGTCATGGTTTTTATTCGTTTCTTACGTATTTGCAAAATATGACGACTATTATCACGGGCCGTCAAATTTTGAGTTCCGTCCATTTTATTTTATTTATATTCGGATATTTTGTAATTTGATTCATGTTTTTATTCGTGTTTTATGTATTCAAGAAAATATGACGACTATTTTCAAAGCGCGGCAAATTATTGAATTCAGTCTATTTTATTAAGTTTATGTGTATTTTTAAAGAATACATACAATAAGTAAAAACATTTTGTTCAGCCGGTTTATTAAATTTTTGTGAATACGTACGACTATTGACCATTGCCGAAGTACACAATCAAAGCCGTCTTATTCGAAGACGAATTATTTCCGGCTTGAATGGGGCAAATACGAAGAATTGCACTCTTTGCCTCCTTGCTCTTGTTGCTTCGCTAAAATTGTTTTCATGTTGAGAACTTATTGTTTGTAAAATAATTCAAAGAAGTGGTGTATGTACATAATGATGAAAGAGAAACTGTAAAATTTTGTTTGAATTCGATGTCTATGGCAGAATTCTGAGGGTGAGTGTAGGCCTATAGGCACAAAAACTAGTTTTGTCATATTCGTTGACCCGAAGAAATTAAAATTTACTTTATGCCTAGCCGAAGTCTTCCAAAATATCCCGATAATTTATGTTAAATCGCATTTGTCTGGGTATGTACTTTTTCTTCCCACACTCATCCATTTACTCATAGATTTTTATTTTTTCCACTGACGAAAAATCTGAACCGATAGTTCCCGAGGTCCCGAGCATGGTCGTTTATGTCTGCTCTATTCGTGAATCATACTTGATTTTGCGTTCTAATCCTAATATATATCATATAAGGGCGACCAAAAATGCCAAATTTCAAATAATTAGACGTGAAGATTTAGACATTTTCCGATAGCTTTTTAACTCGTATTTTTCAAACTAATGTGCAAACTAATTATTCTGGATTAAAGTATATTTTCGTGCTTCCGTAACAAATCCATAAGATAAAATCAGAAGAAGTGCATTTCAAAACAGTTTTAAATTCATTCTTAGTTCAAACGAATCAATTAACATTAACTGAAGGTCGTCAACTGAAAAAGACTATTTTTGCGATTTATCTTCAGATATTTCTGCCAAACATTGATCTTTTATATATATGTTATAATTAAGCATGGAAAACCACCAAAAATAACGTTTGATGACCAAAATTTTTGGTATGTCCATATACAATATCTGTAAAAATATATTTAGATCACATACCAGTGGACGTTAAAAAGTGGTGGGGTATATTTTACATACTATATACCTTTAAGTTAAAACAAGTTTCAATATCATCATAGACTCTGGATATAAAGTCGTGAAATATAAAATAATTTACTAAGATAGGTTTCTAAGATTCTCTTCAATCAACCAAATTGATTGTAAATTGACTACGACCAATAAAAAAGATACCGATACGTATATAAAAATAGCAACTCCGTAGGCAACAGTGCTCGCGTGACCAACACTAAATTGACGAATTATATTTCTTAGTCCCGTATAATATAAATTTATTGAAGTAAGAGGTTGCATAAAAAGAAATAGTAATGTATCTCTTCCATATTTATAGGTAACTGCCAAGTTAAATTCATTTTATTTTCAAATTTTTCTAATAAACGAAAAAATTTCGAGAACTTGTCATTATAACAATATACTTAAAATTTTAATCTGAATCCACATTGAATTGATCAGAATCAGTTTCTCCAACAAAAAATATTAAAAGTCGGAATATTACCGGAATTATTGTATTTGATGGTTTTAGATCTGAAAAACTCATTGTTCAATTACGTGAATTTCTATCGGTATTTGTCCAATCGGACCCCGTCAGTTTTTTTGAAAATAAATTCTTGGAAACGCATATTCAACCCAAAACATTGACTTAATGCTAAGTCATGCCATCAGATAAATTACTCATCTACAAGTACGATTTCTTCCGGTAATTCCTCGGTAATTAGCAATTTTTGTATTTACCATGTACGTACATTTTGATAAATTTTAAAACAATATTAAATATATAATTTTTATCGAATACTTAAGTCTGAGATTTTATTTTTATTTTTGACCATTCTGTGCATTTGTTTCTTATAAATCTCCAATAGTCAAAGAGTGCGAAGATTAGAAAATACTGAGAACGTTTTAATAAATTTCATCTCCGCAATGACGAGCTAAAGCGATTGCTGAAAACATGAAAGCGATTCCGAAGCGCGGGCCATCTTGTTATTATTATAAGGATATAGGGTCAATAAACTTTGCATATCATGATTACTGTTTTGGGTTGGGCTAAGAATTACAATAATTCCATTTAATATCCATAATATGTGAATAAACGTGCTTAGTACAGTTTGACTAATCGAACAATGAAATTTCAGTGATCAAAAGCTTCAAATCAATTTCTTATAAACTCGTGAAAATAACAACTTTTGTCAACTCATGGTCATAAAGGGTGTTAAAAAGTAGCGAGCTTTTGTCAGGATATACGTAAGGCTGCATTTTTCTTTCGCATAAATACCATCTGGCGGATAAAAGGTACCGATTTTAACAGCTTACTTGTAAAAAACTTTATCCAAGCAATGATCGCACGGTAATTGAATTTTACTGCTAGCGACAATGCAAATAGAAAACGTACGGCCCTTTTGTGTTTTGTGACATCAGTCGTAGAAATATAGAATTGGGACCAAAATGTAAAGAAAAACCTTTTTTGTTGTACAATCATTCTCATATATATATGATAGAGATGGAATATGCAAGCGAGTATAAAACTGAGTGTAAGCGTTAGGGTTGATAGACAGGACGTTATAGCGTTTCTGTTGAAAAAGGAACTGCTTGTAATTAGCATTCTCCGCGTGACCTGTTCTCAAGACGAAAGATAGTAACGTCACTAACTTTCAAAACAGAAATATTTAGATAGTCAACAGCTTTCTGATTATTCTTTTTGAATAAAATTAAAAAATAGAAACATTTTTGATATATAGTCAACCTCACCAATTAAGCGATATACGATATAAACGTTGTTGAATAGGAGAGGTACACAACGATATTTAGTCTTCCGATTTTAAAAATAATATGTATGGTAGAAAATTACTGTTTTCGTCGAGAAAAACAGGCTACTGTATACAGAGTGTCATTGAACTTTGTGATGGAGAAAAGAACTATAACGTAATAAATAGGTTAGTTGGTAATCAATCGATCAAAGCTGTTTTGAATTTTCTTCCAAATGATGAAATTTTTACTCGACGTTTTTGACATATTTGTGGAAAAATAAACGGACTTTGGTCGAACATAGCTGGCCTCACGTACAGTTGAAGGTGACAACAATTAGCAAAAAAGCCTAAAAATGTTCAAATAACAAAGAAAATATGATTACGTCAAATCAGATATACTAAAACACTGCTTGTTTACGATAATCACGTTTCTGATGTGGCTTCAGACGGTAGCCTTTGGGGCATATAGCATAAAAATGTTATTTGCTGTAATGGATTTTGTATATAAACCTATGTAATCGTTGTTGAATTAATATCCAGTGTTGTTTGCTCTAAATAAAGTTAAAATAAAGCTTCAAGATGGTTGATACTACTGCTGAAATAATGACCACAGATTCAATGCAAGAATCTCAATGTTTATACGGACCACAAGACCGAGCCCCGAACTCAAGTGAAGTGATACAGCAGATTGCAGGTACATAAGCAATAGTGATATATTTTGAATAGATGCGGGTTAAAATGTTTGTGTGAAAAATAGTTCATTACGACAGCAATCATTTATGTGGTCAGTTTATCAATTTATTATCAAACTTAGCCCTATAGGATCGGTTTGAAAAAGAGATCCACGATCAATAACTTGAAATTTGGTGCTCCAGAAGTATGCGCACCAAGATGTCGTACAACCTGAATCCTAGCCGGTACACACATACCATATTTAGGTTGTGCGCCATCTTGGTGCGCATGCTTCTGGAGGTCCTAATTTTTTATATCCAAATTGCTTTTTTGACACGGAAATAAAAATTGGTAGCTTAAAATTGATATTTCTTATTTTACTATCTGATAAAGCGTTATTTTGTTTAACCATGATCACTAATCTTAATATCTTATATGTCTTGATTTAGATATGGGCGCAGGAGCATATGTTTATATGATGGTGCCTGTTGTATTGTTCACTGCATTGTCAATAATATATGTTGAAGAGGCAGTTTTTCTAATTCAAAATACAGATTTCTGGAGAAGAACTCAACACAAATTGTGGATATTATCTGCTTTTCCCGTAAGTAACATTCAAAATCAATTTATAATTTTTTGAAACAATAATAAATTATGATAGTAAATGGAGTTTGTGGTCCAATTGTTTTTCTCTGCATGGCCTCGTAACATAAGTCGGGCCCGAAGGATGATCCTTTTGAAGGTATTTGTTGGATATGGCCTGATATGGATCGTTTTGTTGAATTCTTGTTGTTTGGGCTGTTTGTTGTTGTTGTTGTTGTGAAAAATCGTTATTTCTCCATAATTATTGGCAAATGGACTTCAAATGTTAGGTACGTGAAGATGGAAGGAGACGTTAGAAGGCTGTATCTTTTAATTTTTAAAATTAATTCTGAGGATTATATTTGAGAATTGTACTGTTAATTTCCAATGCAAGTCGGAAGTCCCGTGAATGTCGACGCCCAATTTCAATCTATCCCACAAGGCGATGAAGATAGATTTGCAGATGAAGCTATCAGTATGGGCAAAAGATTTGTGTCATAAAAATACCACGAAAGACGTCAAACAAGTTCATTGTATTTGTGAAACAAATTCTATAAACTAAAACTCATCATTATTAAACTATTGCAAACACAATAATTACTCGTAAAAAGATTTTATCGGAACACTTTCACAAAGACAAATAAGAACTTCCGTGTCACAAAAAAACTTTCAAATTTTGTTTTGTTGGTATCTTTGTAGGTCACCTTTTTTGACTGGTGATACAGAATTTGTTTTAGGTAGTTTTAAATTTTATAAGTGAGAATAATTTCTCATAACTGCCATGGTAAATAATACTAATGTTAAGATATTATTCATCTTCATAAAAGAGGAAAATTTAACATTGCAAACAGCTTCGGATGCTTTATGAGTCTTATGATAGAATTTCCCAAAGAGAAAACAGTATTTTATTTCTTGATTTTTTCCATTTAGGTAATAGCCGGACTATGTGTTGTCGGACTCTTCTTTCCTCGTTCTTCACCTACAATTCAAATTCTAATATCATTGTAAGTACATTTTTCTGATAATCTATATAAAAAACAAAAACTACAATCAGCGAAAAGGTTAATTTTTTTTCTCGATACTTTTCTTTGAAATATACGGATTTTTAAACAACCAAATAAGTCGGCTGCCAAAATATCACGACTCAAGAGTCTGAATTAACGATGATAAAATAGAACATGTAACAAAGTTTATGAAATTCTATTATGTAAAACGGATTGTGGCAACGCCAATTTGTATGTAAGTGCTTCTACAGTGTGTCCATTTTGTTTTAATGAATATATATTCAAACATCTAATACGGCGTTCTCATCGCGAACAAAGAATGTTAAATTAGCCACATCATTCAGACGAGCACTTTATTTATTTTCATTTTAACCGCTACTCTGAAATTTTCAATAACTTTGTTTGATCGTTATGACTATTGACTTAGTTTTCCATCTTACGAGAAAATAGTATAAAGGTGAAAAACAATGGCAAACAAAATTCACAATGGCACTAAAAACCTATTTGCCATTTTGGCAGATTGTGATGGAAGATTCCGTTGGCAAACTCATTCCATACGATTCAGTTTGAAGGAATCAAAATTGCGTTAAATAAATCTATTTCAACTTGAACCCTGCGTTTGCAGATTGAGTATAAACAAAATTTAAAAAAAAAAGTGTAGAAAGATGTAGTTTGTCGTCAAATTTTTAAATAAACTGAATGAAATTATTGACATTATTAACATAATGGCATGGCATAGCCTATCAATACAAAACTTTGTATTTCAGTTACAATGCGCTTTGTATGAAGAAATATGCTGATCTTGTACTACATTATTATGGCGGAAAAAAGAAAATGGCAGAAATATGTAACGAAATGAAAGTGATTCCATATGCTTTCCCGTGCTTTATGTGGTTCTGTTTTCCCAAAATCGTGATGAATGTGTAAGTAAATTTGTAAACATTTTAAGCAGCAAATAAGATAACAAAATAGACCAAATTGTGCTGTAATTTCTCTCTCAAGGTCTCATTCGGCATTTTCAACCCAATTATACAAGTGGTGGAAATGGTGATCCATCCAACCACAATATATATTATGGCTTTATTAAATAAAGTTCAGTGAATCAAAAATTTATTATTTTGATGTTTTAAGTGTGTTTAATAGTTTATTTATTGCATATAATTTTCTCTCTTCTCAGACGCAATATCAGAATTATGCAGTACTTAATATATCCAGTCACAGTATACCAACCAATCGTCTTTTTCATTCTAACTGTACTGTGGAACGAAGATTTGGGAGGCACATCAATAGTAAGTGACTATTGTCAGCTAGTAGTAAATAAATTTACCTTTGTTCAAATATGAAAAACATAAATTGGGAATATTGAGAATTTACATAATATCCAACTTTTTACCGCGTTTCATACACATTTATACTATCTTTTTAGGCTCCTCTTCTGACAGTTTTAAATCTAAGTGTTCCCCTTGCATCGTTTGTGGCTGTGTACGGATTCGTTATAATGAATAAAGCATCAGAGAGACCACTGAGAAATTTCAGAATTAGAGGTAAGTTTTTGAAAGTATTTTTTGAAATATCTATACACTAATATCATATGGGTAATATTATTGTATATCTTATTTTTGCAATAATGCGATTCCGTTTTTGAACAGGGAAATTCGTGACTGTACAACTTATTCTGGGAATCAACACGGTGCAAGGAGTCATCCTGTTGCTCATGGACAGATTTAGGGCAGTACCATGCACCTTTCCATATCAAAGTCCAAGACCTGGATTCAGTAAGTAACACTACCGATCATCTCAAATTTGGTATTTTATCAAGTATGTTCGAAGATAAATCTTGCCTAGAGAGCTTGATTTATCGATTGACTATATTTGTCTAATTCATCTCACTCTTAAGTACTTATTCATTTCATTACAAAAGGAAAATGAAAGTAGGAAAAAAATATCGGTGAATTCTGTAACAGATTATTTACTTTTCATTTTAGTCATTTATTCAAAATCTTTTCAGTGCTTCATTTATACATATTTCCCATGGAATTGTTTCTTCTATCTGTGGCCGCGAGATTTGTCTTCAGAGTATCTGAAGTTGGCATATTGCCCATTCCAGAACCAAGAGATAACTTTGATGAAATCAAGGTGAGAGATATAATAATTAAAACTGAGAAGGCTCTTTGTGCAAATACTGAAACGTTTATACACACCGAACTATCTAAAGATCTTATACGCGAAGGTTTTTGCTGATTCTGAATTATGTCCAACATGCGGAAAGAAATCTGTCAAAATTATGGTTCAACCACAGAGTATGTGATAGATTGGGTAAAAATGAGAAACTCTATTGGCTGTCTCGTTTTTCACACAGCTGACAGATACAAATGATTATTTAAAGTAGCTAAAACTTTTCAAGTTAGAGTATAGAGTATATAGAAGTTAGCTATATATATGAATTTACTTTGATGTAAAGTACCGGTAGACAGAATTGGGATCTATAAACATTTTTCTCAATACCCTGTTACATCGTTCCATAGCCAGTTATCACAGAAATGTTCCTACTGCTTCAACTATTAGCTTGGGCTTAAAGAAAAATTTATATTGGTTTTGTGATGCCAGATGATTCCGGCTCGGTCTCCAAGTGGAAATATTTATTAGTATATATTTTGTATATGGCATCGAAAAGCGATTAGAAAATACCACAAAGAAGTTCATGTATGGCTAAGCTTTATATCGATGGAAGTGGTTTGGAAATTTAACATAAAAAGTAAACTTCTATTAGAGTTAGACAATATATCAATGGTTAACAGAATGTTTTAAACCAGGTCGATGATGGTGAAGAAATAGACGCTGTGGCTCCTCATTCTAAACGCCGAGTTGATTGCGACGGAGATTCAGATTACAGATCATCATCAGACAGACATTCATCAGTAAACTCTGGAACTGCAGGAAATTTGACAAAGAAGCCTTATGAAATTACAAGCGATGTAGCTTCTGATACTTCCAGTAATTCAGTTCGACTGAAACTTTATAATAAATCAGCATCCCATAACACACCGACAGATTATATGCACAACACATCCATATAGAAAGATCTTCAGTGCACAAAATTTAAAATTTCAGAACGATGGCGATGGCATTGACCGTCATTCATGGCATCTGATAATGGGCGAACATTTATCCATGACGCTCTGGAAGTGCATGGGTGCCTACGTTATTTCGCCTACGAATATTAAACCTTTTATTTATACCCAGTGGATTATTATGTTCCTCAAAACATACTCTATTTTATTGAGACTGTATCATCAAAGTGTACCACTGATGCATATACATTGTTGTTATTGTTTTATTCAAATTTATTCGTATCATTGTGTAAGGCGATATATTTATTTTTATAATTTACAATACTTTTTGTAATAAATTTATTGCCCACAAGCATCCTCTAAAATTATTTGTATTTTTTCTCTTCCGCACCTTTTCATTTATTGCAATTTAAGTTCGCATTCATACATTGCTTCACGCAGCACGCCATATTGCATTGTTCATTAGTATAATTGATCAGTATATATGGTTCCAATCTCATATTAAAATATATTTACATTCTAGTAGTCTTTTGGAATGTTGAATAAAGTCGACAACGAGGTCTCGAAATTAGAGGGTTTTCTTTTCGAAAGAATGGAATGCAAATAAGATCAAACAATAATAAGTACAAGTGGAACGTTAATAGTTTGTCTAAGCCTATTAGTGGGAAATATGCTATCACATGTTGTATGGGCTGTAAAGGGATTTTTAAGGAATTGTTCGTTAATCAACAAAGTGTCTTTGGCATCCGAGCAATGAAACTTCACAAAGCGAGCCTATAGCCATCTTGTTGGACGTCCAATGCCAAATTATAAATGTGTGCGACTTTCTTGCATTCGAATTTACCTGCGGAAAACGTTTTCAGATGCATTTTAGGTTTCGCTGCGCAACCGCCAACTTCCAATTACTCAATATTACAGAGCAAGCGTCAACGAAAGGTCAGAAAGATTTTCCGATCACATTTGCTTCTATTTAGCGGTTAATTTAGAATCGATTCTTCACGCATTAGGCCGTCAAATCTGTTATATACATCTCGTGGGCGAGATAAGGTAAAGTCAATGTAAACAACAAAACATCGCCGCAAAGTGATAGTTCTAAAGCACGGGCCTCGTCCTTATCATAACTGAAATTTTCATCTTTCGGCAGGCACTACGATTTTTAAGCAAGACTGATTCGCAACGCCGCTTCATGTCAGTTGTTTCTAAAGTTCATAAAAGCGGCGCAACACTTTTTGATGTAGCTTGGGTCTGATAAAAACTAATTCGACCGCCGAATTATCACTAGAGCAGTAATTTGCTCGAAGCAAGGTCATGTTGACTCAATATGAAGTGGAGGAGTCTAATAGCAAAGCTACCTTCGTCGGTGTTCCCCAAACTTTTTCGATAATTTTGTCCTTTTGCCTATTTTGGACATCTTTAGTTTTTCCCCACTATGCCTAAATTCTCAGTTTCCTAGTTTGTTTAATCTTATTGCTACGGGCAACTCGCACTCTGGTACAGGTAACATATTCATAAATACGTATTAAAAAAATAATAAATAACCAAACAATATTAGTGAAACCATGCTTACAACAAAGTAGTATTTCCTTCATGGGGAGGAATGTCTCCCCGGTGGGTACACGTTGTCCTACGTAATTGTATACCTCCAACGGAATATATTGCGACTTCGGTACATTGCGTCTGCACTTCATTTATAATTGTAATTTAAATGAGTTGTTTATTCCCCCCCTGATAGTTCAGTATTGGCAAACAGCAAAAATACACAAAACATTCTATTTGTGCATTTAATGCTTTTAATTTCCATCTTATTACATTAAGAAATTATACAAAAAAATTCAAGGAACGTACTTCCGATCATATGATCATTCACACATTTCACAAGCGCAAGGTTTTTCTTTCTTCTTTTTTTGCGTCACACGGCCAGATTTCAAGCAAAATTTGACACAATTCCAAGTTTTTGTTGAAATTAATTCAAATTTTCTAGAAAAATGTATTTCTGATGATTAAGTCAACGCCCATATTAGATTTTGTGTGATGCAGCCGAGGATCTATTGGAAACGAAACTTTGCACAGTATTTGGGAGTCAATCACAATAATATTGCAGTCATCTCTCCACTAATTGATGCTCTTTGCACTTATTAAAAAAATATTTTTCCATGGTGTTGGCACATCTGTAATACTCAGTATCCGGATTATTGTATTCTCTGCAATTATTGAAAATTTTCTGCATATCGGCGATAAATAGTTTTCTGTTTGTGTAGTATTTTGACTTCAAACGCTCGTTTACAGTTCGCAAATCTGAAAATGAAATATGTTGAGTTGGTCGTGTTTTTGATTAGGTGTAGAATACAATATAAATTAGTGTGGTCCAATTTTATCGGCCACAAAATTATTTTTGAATTGTCTGCGGGCCACAATAGTGCCAAGAGTACGTAGACAGTGCAATACAAAACAAACACTTTGATTGTACAAACACATTGATCAATATTTGTCATTTATCAAGCTAAAACTTGCAAGAGTCTTTCTATATCCACATTTAGTGTAAGATTTTAATCTCTTCATGACGGAAAAGCGCTTCCGCAAATGTAAGTGCTTTCGGACATCGATGAGATTTTCGCAAGCAAAATCTTAACTTTGGAAAATGTTCATTGCTCACAAGATTCTAAAATGCTGTTCTTAATTATATTCTTTTGTCACCGACACAACTTGGCCACATATCAAGCAAGCATTGTGGGATTTTCTCACCCACATTTAGTTAAAAATCTGTTTGAATTCGTCAGGTTTTTTTTCAAGCTCATGTTTACAAAATAATCTACAAATAACTGCAGATTGATTGATTACCAAATGTGAGGTACAGGAGAGTAATTAATAATTTTTTTGCCATATAGTCAACATTTTTTGTAATACTGTTTAGGCTGGTTGCAAAAAACACCCGGCATGGATTATATTGTTCGGCCATAACATTAATATTTAGTTATCAGGCATAGCCAACCTAGGCTAATAGAATCTGCATTCGATGCCAAAAGTGTTAGCATGTATTCCCGACCAAAAAGATAGAGAGCCAGATAACAATTTAGACTGCCAAGCACATAATTCAACTTCGCTAGTTGACGCAGCTAGCGTCAATTCAGTGACATTAGTGATGTAACAATATGTCAAAAGATTTTTCTGGTTACTTTTATGGCGAAACAACACCAAATGCGATTTTTTTGATTACTCTCCGAATGCGACGCGGGTCACAGACAATCAAGCAGCGGGCCACATGTGTTTCGTATATACTTGGCCACTCGGACATCCACACTGCCTAAGTAACCTCGCAAATTTCGGATCATACGGCTCTAATGAACACATAGCGTGCATACGACCGCAGGGGATGAACTTTCGGAGACGTTAAGCGCTTATCACGAACGTTGAAGTTACAGCCTACCTAATTCTAAAAATCGATTAAAATCGTAAAATTTAATAATCGAAGTGACAACACCAATAAAATAACACGATGATGACATTGCAAAACAAGGCAGACCACAATTTTTAATTGGAATTCATAATACGACTTTTGCGAATTCCTTTCTTGGTCATATATACAGATCATGTACCAGTACTTGCCTTGATGCGCTGTTTAAGGCTGATCCAGACACGATTTTGTTGAAGAGTCGAAAATTAAAATTACCCAAGAGCCGGAAATTTTGTATGGTATTTTAATATCAACGCCGGCAAACAGTCGTTAGGAATCATTACCAAGGATAGGTTGAAGATTTAAACATTTTTGACGCAATGAGAATTCGATCACACACGCATGAACGCTTATCAAATTATGTGCAATATTACAACTAGGTTGTGGACAACTCGCAATGATTATTATTAAGGGTGTTCAAATTTATAATACATTTAACACTGTTCGCCGGGTTACAAGCTTTCATACAGTTTCAATACAGAATATTCTTGAATGTATAGCCAATACCAATTTCCTTTGGTGTAATGTTCATTGATGTGTATCATCTTGGTTGAGCATATTAAGTGAGATTCATGGTAAATTTTATGGGTGAAGCAAAATCAATCTATCATATATGTTTCGGGATTTTGACTTCTTATTACACTTAAAAATATTATCGATCGAGACGCAGAATAAATAAACCCTATCAGTATATATACACATAAACAGATAGCACCATGCAGATACTATATAACTAAGTTACCAACAACTATAATAAACGCGCATTTGACTCAAAGAAGAGCTAAAAATTAAGTTGTGGAGCAAAACAGTATATGACCTATGTAGTCATTTTTGAAGGGAGCGCACGAGTCCATAGTTCATGATATACAGTTGAAATAACGCCTATCAAATAAAAATTATCAAAATTAATAGAGAACAACTAAAACCATCATTTTTATTTCAGATAAACAAACAGACAACGGGATGATCGAACAGACGTATCGTCTAGCCGAGACCGCTAGGTGATTCACATAACTTTATTGTCAAATATATTTGTATATCGTAAAAAATATTACTGAAATAACGAGGTAGGTACCGGCGGTACTTCAAACATTTTAAACCAAATATGACATTTTCCCAGTTTGATAAGTCACACGCGATTAGAGCATAAAATTTTTAAATTTTCATGCTATGATGCGCTTAGGACTAGTAAATTCACAGGCACCGTTTCGACGAAATAGGTTTACCTAACAATAAAATAACAGTATACTTAACGGAAACAATAGCGAGAATTTTATTGCAATAAAAATGGGATAATTGACTATTAAAAATTGGTCAACGCTAAATCATCGGTGTAGAGAAACAGGTGGCGGCGAAATCAATAGTGTTTCAAAGTATCTTATTTTTATTACAGTGACAACAACGCACATGCCAACCCCGTAATCGAGTTAGTATAAGGTAAAACAATGAAAAATAAATAAAATTGTCTGGTTTTAAGTTAAATCAGATGAACAATCACTAACTAACCAGGGCTGTAGAGGTGTGACGTTTTATTGGAGCTTGAACCAAAGCTGGAAAACTTCAGTCATCTTATTATTTTTCCCATTTATAATTTTCTAATACGTGATACAAATAATAAAATATATCCATTAAGTTCATAATTTTTTTCAATATTCAATTTTCAACATTAATTTAATTAAATACTGATTTCAAATGATTAAATCATATTAATGATCGAATATAAATTAAATTAAAACATTGAGTTAATTGAGTTTCGAGGTAAATTTGTATAATTAAAGTTCGATGTTCAATTTTAAAATTTGATGATGATACTACAAAACACCAATGACTCTGAGGACGATGATGAAGAATGGTGAATGTGATTTTAAACCAGTTCCCTAGACCTAACACTAATAGATGGCTGTGTATTCATTGTAGATAGATCAGAGGCGACTCTAGCGTTTCGACTTGCAAGTTTATTACAAAAATGATATTCCCCACATGTGTTTAAATATTGCATGCAACTAGGCTGGCGAACCTCAGAGATAATAAATAACTGTGCCCACACATAATCTCTTTCTTGATCATTTTAGAAGTATAAATAAATATACCTGTACCTAAAATTTAAAAACCAATAAATGTATAACATACCCATAGGTGACTTGATGACATCATAATACGTTGGTACATCAGATTTCTTCACTGGTTCAAGAAAAGGCCATGAACTGCTGTGACTCTATAATAAAAATTTAAAAAAAAATTATAACAATATCTGGAATTTTGAGGATTGAAACTATAAAAAAGTTCCAAAATCTAACATACTTCCAACAATGTCATTTACAAATGATTTCATTAGTCAATATTTTGAAGTAAAATCATGAGATATGCGAAGTCAAAATATACACTAACTTATTAACAAGAAGTTGCTATGTTGCTCAACTACTAGGCCTTGTGTTAATAATGTCTTGGTTATATGTTAAGTTCTACACCCAAGCTATTATAGAATAAGGGTTCAACTGAATACACTTAGACTTCTTTATTACACCAGCATAATACACAACATAAGATGCTTACAGCAACAGAACATACTAGCGAGTGATGCAACTGCGAAACGTTAGCACTAGACAGATAGCACAATCAATTATTAGGGACGTTACTCGACAAGGAATTATTAGCCATCACCAACACCTAGGGCAGGGGTTCTCAACCTTTTTTCTATCAAGTACCCCCAAGAGTGACGAAATAATCAACGCGAACCCCCGTAATCAAGCAGGGAACAAAATCGTGATATATTGACTAACAATTTGTTGCAACAACAATTTATTGACCATATGTAACTAAATTGAATCGTCGTGTCGATATTATTGCCCTCGTCGTCTGCCTAACCAATGAATTCTCAAAATCTCTCCCAATTTCAATAAGCATATTCGCTTTCTCCAGTGCTCGAAGAACGCTGTCTTAGCGATTTCAGTTTGTCTGCAAAGCGGTAAATTTCACATTATTGCCTCACAATCACAACAACGCAAAATCAGAGAAAATGTACGTTTCAAGTGGCACGCATTTTCCTCTGGTAGTAATATAGGACCTTAAAAACAACAACACACAAAAACTCGACCGCCTTCAAAGTACCCCTGGAAATCTCCACGCGAACCCCTGGGGGTTCGCGAACCCCAGGTTGAGAACCCCTGACCTAGGGTATAAAAAACTTGCCCTAAACCGACAAATTACCTATTCCTAAGCTAAAAGAGGTGAATATAGGGATACATCTAAGTCTCAACCTGCTCAGTGACCTGTCCAATAATTTCTTTTTTTTAATAAATAACAATGAATTTACCCACTTGAGGTAAATACCAATAACCATACCTCAAAATAAGAATAATAATCATATTCAATAACGTCTTGCAACATTCTTGAATTTCAATATCATGAGAAAATTTGATCTTACGCTACTAGTAATTAGTAGAATAACCTCAAAAATGCTTCAGCATCCATAGTTTATATCAGAAACATAATATTGAGCTCACCCTCATGCTTTGTATAATTGCTTTCAAAACACTGTACAAACTTTCCGCCGATTCCTTCATTTCTTTCTTTCCATTTTCTTTAGCTGGTTTCCATCCAGTTTCACCTGAAACATGATACAAAATGGTTTTCATAATTATATAGTCTCAAAGAAGGGACATATATCACAAGTAAGCCAGTTGCAGGTACATGGTCTTGAAGAAGGGTACACAAATGATCAAATATATAGCTAATCTCCACAGTATCTGAACAAGCAAACACCACGAAAAGCAATGGGAGGGATGCCATTATCGTTAACCTTAAAGTGCCAACCATGGGGATAAACAAGAAACTATGAAAGCTCTCAAACGAAAGCAACTAAAATTTACATGTTAGTTTGGGGATAACTGAAGTTAGTTGTTTATGTAGTTTTCTCAACTCGTACAAGAAGTACCAGTCAACAATATCTTAAAAAAATGAGTTCCCAACCAATATCAAAACTTACGAATTCCCGGTATATTTTCAATTGGAATCTGCCGAACACCATCTTTGAAACAAGTCAACCCAGGATAAACTTTAGAAAACTGTTGTTGCTTCCTTTCAATAAGTTTTCGAACAATCTGTAGAACAAAACTCAAGTTTTATACATATTGTTTAAGCCACCAAAATCACCCAAAGTCCATTAGACCGTTGATTCTCAAAGTGGACAATATCGCCCCCTGAAATAGAGGTCATAGGTGTGATGGTGCATTCTTGAAAAGTCAAAATTATTGTAAAACTCGTTTCGCTTATAAATTGTACCCGACTTAAAATGTCTCAAAATATTAAGAATACTCGTTGAAGATCACCAAGATCCCCCACCTCATTGAAAAAACACTCAAGTACTTGCTTGTTTGATTTGTAGTAAATATGATAACAACTTCATGTTTTTCGTATCGCTGGAATGGCGACTATGATTATGATAGAGTGCTGAGAGGGGGCAATCACTGCACTACATGAAGTTAGGCCAAATGGTAAGTCAGTAAATAAAAATAATCAGTTAAAAATGAAATATGAAAACCAAAATGAGAAGTAAAATATAATAGCAACCTCTTTCTGTTTTCTAATGATGTTGCTAAACTCAGTGTATGGAATCCTTGGATTCAATTTACAACCCATGAGCGTTGCTCCTTCATATTCCTTTATATAACCAACATAAGCAGCTCTTTCAATTTCAATTTCTTTAGAAAAACCTTGCTTCTTGAAATATCCGATTGCGTACTCATCAGCATATGTTAGAAAGTGATAAACACCCTGAAGGGTTGAAAATATAAACAAAGAGTTTAAATCTCTGGAATTCTTATGTTTGGATAAATTATAAAATTGCAAGATAATATTTAATGTGAATTTTATGGAGGATTGTCGTATTCTCGGGAACTTTCCAATTTAACTTATTGTGTTGGTGTGATGGCCTTTCAGTTAATAAAGGATTGGCTTGACTGTGTTGACATCACTTTCACAGGGTACATATCTTGGATTCAAATTCCTTGTGCACCACTACACCCATAGTGTAGGCGAACTCAGAACCAGGAATATTCTAGTCCTTCCAAATAATATAGTAGATCCTTACATATCATTAGTGGGCTTTGCACAGGGCTTTGTTGAAAGTAAAAACTATGACTAAGTGTCAGAATTCTTTTAAGTCATGATATTTCGAATGAAAAGTGAATTTTCGTTAAAAGTCAAGGGTGATCATAAGGTAAATCTTCAATGGCCCCCATTGATTAACATTCAAATAAATTACCTTTTTCATAAATCAACTTATTCTAGACACTAATACCTGATTAACCAAATATTAGAAAAGCAGTAAGTTAGTAACACAATTTTACACTCACCTGTTTTATATGATATTCTTTCAAATGATTCATAAGGTGAGTTCCATAGCCTTTTACTTGTTCATTAGATGTGACAGCACAAAACACGATTTCTGTAAACTTTTGTGTCGGAAACATTCTAAAACAAACCCCACCAATCACTCTGCCTTCTTTCACTAAAGCGAGTGTTCTATGTTTCGGATCGAAGACGAGTCTGGTGATGTATTCTCTCGGCATTCTAGGAAGTTGGTGTGAAAATACATTTTGTAGTTCGACCAACCAAATTAAAGTTTGTCTTGAAGATGGATTACTGGTGTCCAAGTTATTAGCAATGACGTGAAATTCAATGATTCCTCTCCGTTCTTCTTGTCGGGCTGCCTCATCTCTGGCTGCTTGAGGTGACAGTAGGTTTGGCTAAAAAAATAGAGTGGTTTAAAAGAAAATTCCTTCTACTGTTACATGATACGATAGGATAGTATTTACATATTTATCACGAAGGAGAAGAAAGTAGATAAGACAGCATAATCATATAGTGAACCACCGCCTCTCGACCGGTTACCTGTCGATATCGGGTATGTGATTAGTTAGGCGGTTATTTGTTTTCAGAAGCATGGAATTGATGGTGGGGAAAGCCGTAATCAACCAGTGGTTATGTGAACCACCCCACGGCACCGAGGAGTCCAGCAATCCTCTTGCACATAACTATAAACACATGAGATTCGAACCTGCAAACCCACGCACGGTAATCAGAAGTGCAGTGGCGAGCGTATTCTTAAAGCTTAGCACAATGCTCCTCACCGCCGAGCCCATGTTACTCAGGGACTATACAAAACTTAGGAGCAGGCATTTTTCAGGCATGCAGCCTAATATAATAGTTGATGACGTGTAGACTGAACTGTCCATTCAAGCCAAAGTATCTTATTCATTCCCATCAAATGCCTGAATATATTTTTTTACTTCTGTTGTTTTCATTTTGTGGTCATTTACCTGAATGGCTAGTAACAAATGACTTGAACTTGATTTTAAAATCTTAAGGATGAATAATCACAACAAAATAAAACAAACCTCTGGTCCAAGCATTTGTTCTGGATCTGTAACAGTTGATACCACTTCATTGATAACTTCTAATGGAAATTCTGTCAAAGCTGATCGTTGTCGTTTGGCTCCGTCTTCATCTGCTGTTGGAGGTGTGAACTGTTGAACCAAGTCTGATGATTTTCTTTTTTCTCCTCTTGACATTTCTTCAGACAAGAAAGATGAACGCTGAGCTGAATGTAAAGGATGCCTTTAATTTTGCAAGATTTGAAAAAATTATTTCATGATGACAACATTATACTAAAAATTGTAATCCCCAAGTCAGTGGTTCCCAACCTATTCAGTGAAACAGACCCTTGCTTGGGTGGTTCGCCTGAAATTTAATAATGCATTGTTATACAAAAGTGTTAAATGTTGTTTTGAAGTTGATCAACACGACTTTGCACATGAATTGCATCTTGTGTTTCATTCTAGCCTAGCTACCTAGTTTTTATAAATTCTTGCGAAGCTCATGGACCTCCTAAAATTTACATGTGGATTGCCAATTGCGAACCACTGATCTAAACCTTGAGGGAAATCGTTATGTTGCTGAAAGCTGTAAAATTGGCAAACAGGAAATTATTACCGTAATTTCAACCAGTTTACCAAGACAACTCAATCCGAAGCTAACAAATGCAACATAAACTACTACAGTTTGATTACTGCTTATTGAGACTGATTATATCAATGTATCTGTATATTAATAATAACTGACCTGTTAAGAACCTGGGATCCAATACACCACCTGCAGGTGATGTCAATGCAAACAAACTACCTGGTGTTCCTGGACTTGTAATGAATGGATCACCTGCCAATGTAATGAGAAAGTTGAAAATAGATGAACTGTTCGAGAAGTAATAAAAACTTTATTTCAGAACTGGGATGTGGAGTAATGGCATGTTTTTACTGATATTTAAAGCACATTTTCCAAAATCTCCCCAAGTTGGGAGTTGAAAAATTCAAGTCTTGAAATATGAGCCTGAAGTTGGAATTACTTTTAATGGTGATAATAAAAGTCAAAACTACAGTACAGACAGAAATTGAAGAGCATTGAGCTGTTTTCGCATTCTTAATAAAAGATAATCAATCGCTTATGTCAGAGTTGAACTTGACAAAAATTGACAAAAACAAAATTACTTTCACCTTCGCTCAAAATTTTTATCAACCCAAAGTCCGATGTTGATATTTAAAAGTCTGGGTGTCGGAAATAAATGTAGCCAGACTCCAGAGCCCTTGTTTAGAAATTAGCAAATACCATATATTTGAATCATGTAACCTACTAATAAATTATCAGGTATTGGGACAATTTCAAAACATTTTCAAATGCATAGATAGATGTAGATTGTTATTAACAGACATACTTGAATCATTAGATCTAGGTGAGGGTAGTGGCATGTGTGCAGGCATCTGTGAAAAATCAACATCCCATATAGGAGAATCAGTTGCATAAAGTTCTTCTTCTAACATGGAAAGAAATCTGAAAAATAAAACTGTAGAACTTACCAGGAATGCTTTTGAATTTTCTACGTATTTGAGTTACGATATCTGAATTCTGAAATTTTACCTTTTCAACGGACAAGGTTAGCGTGGAAAAATGCAAAATGTTTACGAAGTATCCTGCTGAACAAGTCTGACATAAATATTGAATCGAAGCAATGACAACTGAATGATTTATGTAGGTTTACGAAGAATGAGACATTCCTTTATAAACTACTTCTAGAGCAATTTATCAATTAAACTAACAGTAGTTCATTGAGAATATTAATAAAAAATAAGGTGCTGACTTGGTATCAAATGGAATAAATGGAAGCCCAAATTATTATCCATTTTGATTAATATTGAAGAACAGAAAAACTCCACAGTTTATTAAAGACTTAAAATTATGAAAAGAAGACGAGATTAGGGTTTTGTTTAACTTGATTATGCAACCTACAGTATATACCTTTCTCTATTACTATTATCCTGATAAAGCCGCACAATATTAAGTTTAAACAATATCAAACAACACCACAGCATACTTTGGAAAATATGACAATACAAGCGTCCTCTTGTCAGCAAGCATGTGATGTTTATCAGATCGAAAACTTTCCAAAACATTTCTTCGAATTGTGGGGAACACTGAACGTAGCAGAATTCTGCCGAACACTTCTGTTGTTTCATGACAAGCAAAACTGTCACAAAATCGAGGCACACGACAATAACAAAGCCATCTAAATGAATTTAAAATGAAACAAAATTAACAGTGTTTTCACAATTGAATTCATAAAAAATCAATCGTACAACAGTAAGAACGTAAGCCAGTGTTTGCAACTGTATTTTGGTGTAGTTGACTAATAGGATATTGTTTAGGTATTTGATATCATTGTAATAATACAAGCATTTTTATGAACAGATAAAAACAATGGCTTATATAATTAAGCCGTCTTATCCACTTTCCTTCTCCCCTTGTAAATATGTAAATCCTATCCTATGCAAAAGTCGGGAGTGTGACTTCCGTTCCATGTAAACACTAACTAGTAATTCGAAAGAGATTTTATATGAAGAAAATGGTTCAAATCATGGCCGAATCAGAAATATTTTAATATTTTCAATAATATAGCAACAGGCTTGGAAAGCATCCATAAAAGTGATCCAACCTGGTGTAATTCATTTTATAATCTTTCTCGTCATCATCTGGTGTCCGAGACTTTCTTGCAGATGGAGTTTCCAATGTTTCTTGATTGAGACATGCCAAGAATGTTCTAGCCAAGTCGTGCATTATTTGAAATTCCTTTACAAGAAATAATATTTTAATCAAAACTGACTAAATAGTAAACGAGGATATCGGTCAGAGACCGAAGACTTATCGATCGAAAGTTAGGAGATCCCCCAAAACAGCGCTCTTACTCTATAGTGACACCTTGTGTCCCATTACTAATTAATTAATAACTCGCTAATTATACGACATAATTCATCTGGTACGACATATGATGAAAGCACATGCAAAATCTGGAGCAGATTCAATCTCGCTTTCATGAGATATCGCGTGCATCTAACAGACAGACAAACAAACAGGCAGACAAATACCTATCAACATACTTACCAATTAAAATCGATAAGTAATGAATTCATTGTTTCTAGCATGGATATGAAGTTGTGGAAAAATTTGACCAGACTACAAGCTTTGAGTCAAATATCCATATTCATAAATATTATTTACGAATGAATTATTCAATTCAGGCCAACCTATGTCAGATGCTTAAATGCTTTTTTCATCAAATTTCATTTAACATAAAGCTTAAATTTTTGAGAATTCTAATTCTAAGGCGGTAATATAAAAAGAATAATTAAAAGCAGATATATTTGCAACTTACTTTTTGAGGTAAATGTCCAAATTTATAAATTATAAAATTTGTGATTCCTTTGAATATACTGGGTTGGTTGAATGGTGGTGAACCAAGAGGTCCCTCTATCACTGGTTTACTTGACTGAATGATGCATTTTCTTAACAACTGAAACAAAATAATCAAAAATAATAAGCTGAGTATCCAACAGTTAAATAATTACTTAATTAGCATGTGATGACCGATGACTAGCAGTTAAAGCGGTAAACTTAAAATCGGTATGGCCGTCGCCAACTTGTGTTCAAATCTCACACCCATTAGAGCAGCGATTCCCAAACTATGGGTTGCGACCCACTGGTGGGTCACAAACGGAATCTTAGTGGGTCGTGAAAAGATGTAGAAAGCATTGGTTAATTATGCTGGTTATTAGGATCGGTGGCGACTCGAATACGCAAATCTTTAAAAAAGCAAAAGAAATTAAATTGAATTTAAATTCTAATCTGTGAAAGTTTCTTTTTTACGATCTTCTCAAAAGAACAAAAATTTGCTACACAAAGAATGACCATGTGGCTTTTTTTTTGCATAGCAGTTTTGTACACTGCACAGCACTTCTTACCGTGTTTCCCCGAAATTTAGACAGAATTTAGATTTATTTTCTTTTGAAGGATAACACTACGGTTTTTTTGGGGAAAGGGTCTTTTGTGTTCATTTATTGAAAAAAAAATTATATTGTAGAAAATCACAAGATGTTTTACTAAACATTATATAAAAACCGACATCCATTGTTTTTATTTGTATTTGCTATACAAAAATCAAGTGACAAATATCATAATTGTGATATTACACAATCTTGAATAGTGGTGTGATTTTCACCTTACCTCAGGCCAATGAACCTTTCTTCTCCCCAAAATTAAAAATTATTTTAAGGGTAGGGTTTAAATAAAATCATTTTGAAAATTTAAATTATTATCTTATTTTCAGGCCAGGTCTTATTTTTGAGGAAACACAGTAGTTTTGCGGTGATTAGCCATTGCTGTGTTTGTGTTACATCATAAAAAAACAAAAAAAAACTGAATTAGAGTTAAGTGGGTCGCCATAAGCTGTGGTAATAAATAGTGGGTCCCAACTCCAAAAAGTTTGGGAACCACTGCATTAGAGTGTATTAGGGCTTAGGCGACATTCAACCACATAGATCCTTCCAAAAATATCTCTCCTTAAATATTGATATATATAATATGCCGCCACTTGGTGGTTGTACAGAATAATCAGTAGAAAAACATTGCGATTCTCACTCTGAATAAATAGAAATAAACTTGTTTGGAATCACCATCTTCTTCCTTCTGAACACATTGAAAAAGATTTTCAACATCAACAACCATTCCTAATAATCTGTTGATTTCATCTTCTCCTGAAAAAGTATTAAAACAAAAATTTCATTGAATATTGTATTGCCTAGTTGCAATCTTCTTCAATGAATCAATGTGGACATAAATATGAGTAGGACTATACTAAATTCTATCATATTGTAATCATTTAATGAGCAAAATCTATCATTTAATTAAATCAAAAATGAAAATTTGAAGATAGCAGAGATATTTAAAAGCTTATAATTTATTTCTACACCTAACCAACGAGATAATGTTTAAAATCAATTCAAAGTTCACAAAACTAAAATTTTCGACGGAAGAGAAGTAAATTATCCGTAGGCCTACATATCATGATTTTGATCCCTAAATGCATAACAAAATAAACACATGACATAAACTGTTAAGAATGATGCATACCACTCATTTCCAAATGGGAAACATGATTCTGCAGAGCATGTGTACAACTCCTGCATTTGCTTTCTAACGTCACTGTGCTTTGAACCTGAAAAACGAATAAACAAATCAGTAATGGCATCAAAAACAAGTATTTTTCACAAACACTGCAAAAACTTGGAGGTTGCAAATTGCAGATTGAGTAGTAATCACCCGCCATTCCGATCTTCATCCAGAATAAGTATCCTTTTCATCAATCTTATTTCTTTAATTATCACACCATAGAATCAATATGAAAATCCATTCCAATGTAATATATTATCAATAGTCCACCAATATTTTGTGAAAAGTTGGAAGATTTGGTCTAGTTGAAAATAATTGCCCAACAGAAATAAGGGATTATGCTAATAATTTTGAAACCAACCTACCACCTTACCTGTTGTGATGAAGATGCATCAGGTTGAGCTGTTGCTAATTGATTGTAAGGATTTTTCCAACCGTTGCATTTACATCCTTCATCCTGAAAAGTCAGAACAAAATAAATGAAGCAATTAAATAATTTGACATATGATGAGGATCGCTAGGCAATGGCACAATATAACCCGAGAATCGGATTTTCAAAGCTGTAGTTTATCACAATGAACCTTAGTCATTTTTGAACCTATCCCATGTGAAAAAACACAAAGAGGCATGAACCAATTTTTTTTATCGTTGGGTCTTGAGAGAATTGGTCACAAAGATGGGAAGACTTTTTGTATTATGCCACAGCATAGGCGTTGGTACAATTGTCTGATGGAATCCGAACTAACTGTGTCTGTATAAAAGTATACATGTAGCCTATTATATTCTCCATAATGAGAGTTTCAGTATAGAAATTTCATATTTATACTGAGGGTAGGAAAGCCAACAACTGAATCAAATTGCAAGCCACGGCCTCTGTCTGGTTACCAGCCCATGCCGGGGGCTACCTATGACAATGAGTAGTCAAGTGATCCTCTCAGTCTCTCACACATAATTCTTATAATTTTTACCAACCTATAGTAAGATGGATGGGATGTACCAGACTTTAAAAGGAAAGGTTGAATGAACATCATTTAAAAAAAATTGATCAGCACTGATGTATACTAACCTTACATGATGAGTAAACCCAATTTTCTCAAGTTCTTAACCCGTGGATAACCTCGAACTTGTGCCTTACGTTTTGGATTTTTGCAAGGTTGGCAGATCGAGCTAGTTCACGTTGGGACGAACGACTGCCGAGAAAGATTTCTTTTGTGACGTCTCAGCTTTCACATTATTGAATTATCCATATATGTTGGCTATATCAGTATTCTACAAATAGGTGGAAACATAAAATGTAAGAAATGGAAAGTTAAGGAAACGTGTCATCTATCATCAAAGCATCAGGATCAGGGACATTTTACAAAATTGTAAAAAAATAAACAAATAATTGCACATTAAAAATCATTTCATGTAAGAACATGGCTGATCAGTAAAAAATACTTATGCAGACTAGATATTTGTCTTATTTGCAGAACAATGCAGCAATGTAGATTTGGGTTGGATGTTTTGGCATGGAATTGATCAGTGTTAAAACTTCTCGGAACCGCAGACAATGTCAATATATCAATTTTTGGTTTTGAAGTTGACCTTCCAGAATCAAAATAGTGAAAACAAAATCGAAATTTTAGACAGAAATTCATAAAGCATAAATCCGCATTGTAAAACACGTAATTCATAAGTCTTGCCAAACCCAAATTTTCGTACCAAAATTTAGTTTCATCAGAGTTCGAAACTGGAGTCTTCAGGTAACATTTTGTTAAGTAGGTGTCAAGAGCCAATATTTAAATGAATAAGAGTTTGGAATCAGGTGTACGGTTTCCCAGAATCCGAGTCCTGATAGGCTAAGTATAACGATACAAAACAAAAATTTTATGTTATATTGGCAACACTGTAATTTTCTTTGATAAAGTTTGCTTCTTAAAAATGTTTCACGCATTATGTTATCTAGTTCTTCCAAAGCAAGCTGAGCATGTAGTTGTACCGCAGTATCCTCATCTCTTTCATATAAAAACTTCAAATGTTCGATACATTTGTTTTGTAACATTAGAAAATTATCTGTATAAAATTGCTCCAAGTTTAGTTATAAGATTACAATAGCATGCACAGCTGCTCTACGAACCATAGGATCAGGATCCGATTTTGCAGTACTGCTGAGACACTCATTTATTTCTTGTTGTATTTGAGATAAATAATATGGTGCCATAGGTGCAAGTTCAGAAAAATTTGATAAACAAACTGCTCTCATGTCAGGATTAACATGTCTAGAACCTTTCAGAAACTCCTGGTAATAGTATAGAAGCGTGATACGGTCCCATATCACCCCATATGCCGAATTATTCTCATTATAATTTCACCCACTTTTCATTTTTGCATCAATGGTATTATTTGAATTATTTTTTTGGGTTTTGTTTCAGAATCTCTCATAAATATATTGATTACTTTTTTAGGAGAGACTCTGAAGCAATATTGCTTACAGACAAAGACCCGATTACTGCTAAAAGCTTGTAGCAGCAGATAAATAAACAAATGAATCCTGGTTGTCCAAGCATTCTACAAAAATTTCAACCAGTTTGTCCAATTTTTTAAAAGCAATTGGCAGTTTTCTTTCAATGCATTTAGTCAAATAACGAATTGAACCTCCTTTTATGGCAAGGACTGGGGTCAAATACTTCATCTAATGATTGAGAAAATGATAGATTGAAATCTTCTTCATTAGCGATAGAATCAGTCACTGAAGTGGAATGAGTCTCTTTACTACTATTCTTAATGGTATCTTCACTACTTGAAGACTGATCCCTGCCAGAAGAATTCAAAACAGTATCCCGATCTGTATCAACAAGCAATGGTGCTGCTTGCGATGGCAATGTAGTTTCTTCATTACATTTTGGTTGGGTTTCTTTACTCAAATCCATATTTTCAAACTTTTTCATTTGTTCTTTCATTAATACTGAGAATGCATCCATTGAAGTTTCATTTACAGCGCCATACGTTGATATTGCAATTGTAAGATCCGACAACAAATCTCTTGTATGTTTATCCAAATTATTATTACCCGCATATTTTTTTGCAACAATGGAACCACAGACAACAGTTCACTCTTTTCTTCAGAGGTCATATCGCTCATTAGACATATTCCCAATACACTGGCACAAGTTCCTAACATTTCGAGTGAATTATTATCCAGACTTTGCAACATTGTTTTGATAAAGCTAATTATTTGAGAAACATCAGAAAGTAAAGTGTTCGGATTGTATGTCTCACACATTGTCGTTAATAAACCGAAAGTAATAAATCGAGTCTCGTTATTTTTCAAAGCTTGAACAGCTCGATCTTCAGGTGTCATTATAATTTTGTCCTCATTAATTTCATTTGGAAAATTTTTCGATGGATCGCAAATAATTTTTAAAAGTGAAATAAACACAACACCAATAAATCCGCTATTATCCATATTCGATAAAATGTCTAGCAAATACATTTACTTTAATATCTTGATGTTGTAAGACTTCTGAAGGTTCAAAAAATTTGTTGTTAGCTATTGGACAAACGTTTCCATTTGCATCCACTTCAAACTTCAGATTAATCAATGGAGTTTTAATCCCAAGTTCTGTGCTTTTAATTTGCCCGTACATTGAAAAAAACATTTCCTCTGCTTTCAAGTCATCTGAACATTTTAAGGATTTACATAAAAGTTCTTTAGTCAATAAGTTTAGATGAGAAGAAGTTTCATTTGTATCACAAATCAACTGAAAGAATATTTTCAAATAGGGTTTGATGAGTGCAGAAAGTGCTACATCAGGAACAATTCCGATGGAAATACAAATATCATGTAAGTTTTCAATGCAGTCATTTATTTCTTCAGAAGAAACATTTTCATGGAACATTTTTTCTTTTCCGATTGTAAAACAGCATTCCGACAAAGGTTTACATATGATACTTTCCAATATATCCGATTCTGAATGATATTTTTCGTAAAGAGCATGCAGAGTAGTAACAGCTACTTTTCTGACAACATGCATAGCTTCAGAATTGTCTTTTCGCGAATCAGAAATCATTTCAATCGCTTGATGGCCAATCGAAATACAATATTTTTTAGCAGGAATACCCTTCGAAGGAAGGGTAGAAATAATTGAAGAAAGTGCAACTATATGCTCCCATCCAGCAGTTTTGAAATCAGAATCGCGCGAGTTTTCGACAACTGCAGAAATAATAGCTTTCATGCCCTCTTTTTCCAGCAATGTTCTTGATAATATTGATCCACATTTCTCTCGCAACCATTTTGGCGAAAGTCTTGTTTCTGGGTTTCCTTGTAGTACAAAATCTCTTGTATAAGACGGCTTTTTGAAATCCATGATTTCTATTATTTCATTAAGAACTTGTAAACATCTTTTTCGATCTTTCATGTCTATTAATCTGGCGGAATTTGGAGAAAAACATAATTGCATATAAGATGCAATAATCTCAGGTAATAAATTCTTGGTGACTATGTTTCTGATTTCAATGGCTTTGCAAATAACATGGATAAATAAGGAATTCTCAAGAAGCATTCCATATTTTTGTCTTGGGGTAAATTCAGTATAGAAATGTGAAATTTTTGAAATCATAATTCCTTGTATACTTGGTTCAAGATGAGATACAATGCCAAATTTGAACACAAATTGCAATAGGCAAGACACATGATCCACATCTGCGACTGATAAATATGGTCCTTCAGAAAGATTACCAATATTCTCAAGTTCCTTACCAAGTTTTAAAAGCAGAATTTGTATACACTGTATAAACTTTTGTAGCACAAAATATACTGATATTTTTGCCTGAGATTCAGAAAGTTCTACACTGTCAAACTGTATTTCGCTCTCTTTCAACAAATTGATAACAGTTTGATACATTCCTTCCAGGGTATGTACATCACCACTTGAAACTTCATGTTTCAATCTGATAACATCAGTGACATTTGCAATCACAGCCTTGATATCATCCATTTCTCAAATTAGGCAAAATAGATAGAGTTGAACTGCTGGACAAAAGAGGAATTGAATTAAGTCAGATAATTTCATATTTTATATGCAGGTGAAGACAGTTCAGAGACAGAGCATTAGTAACCACTCTACTAACTTTATGAGATTTTCACAGCTATATTAATCAACGGCTGAAATTCTCTGTTGAAAATAATATTCGATCTATAATTGTCATGCAGCCGACTTTGAGTTAGGTTGGATGTGCTAAAACTAAACTTTCGGGTCATGAGGTGGCATAAGACAGTTCGAGTTAGGAGTTTGATTCCCATTGCAGCCTTGGGAGTTGTTTAAACAAAATAATAAATAGATATACAAATACATCTGTAGGCTACATGTAAATTTCAGAATTTATGGGACATTTGGGCATAAGTTATTCATCACAATTCTGCAATTAGACAGTAGATATATATATACTGGCCATACTATGCCCAAAAATTCCACATGTCAGCATTTATTTGTGTATTATTCGGTTAATATTTCTGAATAGACTAATCTTCAAGGGACTGAAAATCCAACTCATAATAACGTCTCTTCACCTTGGGTACGGAAATTCTGTGGGCCCTTAGTGGGTGGGCACAAAGGTCAGTAGATTATATCACTAAAACTGGCCATGCATTTTCAGACCATTCAAAAACTAATGCCCCACTATCCATCAGAGTAACCCCAGCTAGCCCACACTCACGCTGCAATCAACCAAAGTTACCCTAGCAGACATCTCTCAGCAGACATCTCTCTCGTTTTTGAACGCCCCGATCACTGTTGCCAGAACTCAGATTTCAATTGAGCGATGCGAGAGTTTACGAAAAAGGCATCGATGAAAAATCAGCTGATGCTTTATGCGTTGCCAGATTAATCATAAAAACTGTGAATAATTGCCAAAAAATCACAGTTCACCCCCAAATATAAGTGTCTCACAAATATATCCGCTTAGTATAAGAAAGACAAGTATAAGTGCTTATAATGGGAAGTAAACACAACGAGTTTGACAAATATTGGATAGGTGGAAGAGATACTTATTATCGTTTAAACATGTCCCAGTCGTCAACTTTTAATAAAATTGGTAAAAAGACCTACTATGTCCCCAAAAAGATGTGTCTTACAATCATAACTCTCCATTTGTACATAAACAACAGTAGTACATTTAATAAAGTGTTTATACAATGAGTTTGAAAAAGTTTGTATGGGGGGAAGATATTTTTATTATCGCATAAACATGGCCCGATAGTCAATTTATGAGAAAAATGGCAAAAAGACCTCTTTTGCCCCAAAAAATGAGTGTCTTGCAGTTATGGGCCCCACATTTACAAAAGACCAGTAGTAGTACATATAATAAAGTGTTAATTCAGCGAGTTTGAAAAAGTTTGTATGGGGGGAAGATATTTTTATAATCGCCCAAACATGGCCCGGTAGTCAATTTTTGATAAAAAATGGCAAAAAGACCTAGTTTTCCCCAAAAAATGAGTGTCTTGCAGTTATGGGCCCCTCATTTACACAAGACCAGTAGTACTACATATGATAAAGTGTTAATACAGCGAGTTTGAAAAAGTTTGTATGTGGGGAAAATATTTTTATAATGGCCCAAACATGGCCCGATAATCAATTTTTGATAGAAATGGCAAAAAGAC